GAAATCGAATGCCTGCAAAGTTCAAAAAGTAGGTCACTGTGACCAACTTTTTAATAAATATGTTTTATGGCCCCAAGATGCATCATCTTACAAGATTTAATGATTCTAAGCCTCCCCGTATTCAAATTAATGACCTTAAGTGTTTTAAAAAAGATTAGCCATAAAATTCAAAAAGTAGGTCAAGGTGACCTACTTTTTAGTTGACGTACTTTGAGGACCCAAGATGCATCAACTGACAAAGTTTGATGATCATAGGCCTTAAATTGTTCAAAATATGCCTCTAAATCATTTTGAAAAAGAATGGTCGCAAAATTTAAAAAGTAGGTCACCGTGACCTACTTTTGAGTCAACATGATATGAGGTCCTTAGATGCACCAACTGACAAGATTTGATGATCCTAGTCCTTATAGTAAGCAAAATATCAACATTTTAATAAAATGTAATTTTTGGTCAACTTTGAAGTGACCTTGAGACCACGCCCTTTGCCCCAGGGTAAATCCCCGTGCAAATTTTAATCTACAACATATCCTCATCCTTTTGTGTAAGTTTAGTGATAATCTGCCCAGTGGTTCTTGAGAAGAAGATTTTTTAGCAACCAGTACTTTTTTTTCTATTTTCCTAATTATCTCCCCTTGTTAAAGGGTCACAACCCCAGTTTTAGTATAAAAGGGAGCCCTTGGGCCAAGGATACCCTGTGACAAATTTGACAATAATTGGCCAAGGGGTTCTTGAGTTATGGCCCATATTCTAAAAAGTTTACGCACACCGCACAAATGGCCATAGCATTAGCTCTTTGAGCCTTTGGCTCAGAAGAGCTAACAAGACAATAACAAATTACAACACAGGCAAAACATATTTAAATACAAAATTTAACAGTTATAATATGTTCCGTGATGCAAAAAAAGGTTAAAAAAATATCCTTTCATTTTGCATTTTGAAAAACAAAAGTATGGTATAATTATAAATTTTACTATTGATTTGATTTGAAATTAACTTTAGTAGTGTCTATATTATAAACTCGGGAGGAAACCAGTTTGACTAACTTTTCAATGAAATTCAGAAAGTGATTTAATAGAAATGATTATATAATTATCTATTCAACAATCACCAAGGAGTAAATTGTATCAGCAGGTAATCGATATAATACACATCTACAAATGTATCTACATAAAAGGAATGCATTTATACAAATGTTTCAATATTGAAACAAATATTTCAATAAGAATCACATTACATGTATTTACAGATTATAATACTTTAACTGTCAACTTTGACAAACACTTTGGGACGGTTGAATATTTTCTTAGCCTCGTCAATCTCAGCTATTTTACCCTCTAATTCTTGTTTTTGTGACCTGATTCTAAAAGTGTCCATACGTAGAGGTAGAGCACTCAGTTCATTCACTAATTCCTTTTCCTCTGCAAGTAAAATTAAAAATTTCAGTAAGGACAGATGCATATACAAGTACCCCTCTTTATTAAATTTATTTAACATCAATAAATTGTCTTCATTGTTTTTCAGTTTCCCAAGACCATGGCCCCGTTTTACTACAGAACCTACATCAAAGTCCAAAGTCCAAATAATTCACATTTTTTTTTTTACATTAATTTTAAAAATATTTTTTACCTTTCTAAAAAGAATTTAGAAAAATATTTTTATGCAAGCAATTTTTTAACAGAATCATTAATTTTTGCAAGACAAACATAAAATGTTTGTTTGAGAAAACTCAAATTTCGGTTTGGTTTAATCAGTCTTGCATCTCCACCATAACAAAGATCATATGGAGAGACTATAGTCCAGTGAGTAGGGAGTATCTTGTAATCTTGGGGGAAGGATAACATTATTGCAGGTAATAGCAACTTAACACACTTACTTATCAGTAGAAGTTTGAGAGTTTCTTGACGTTCTTTCTCTGGGAGTAGTCGATGACCAGGAGGCATTTCTGGGTCTGGTGTGTTAGCTATCCTATCCCTTTCTTCTTTCTTCCACTGGTCTTTGCGTACTTGAAGGCTGAGTGAAAATATCACAACGAATATTAAACTGTAAGTTCTGTGTTTCTGCTTCATCAATTTTCAAAATGAAATTACTGGCCATCTGCCATTGACTAAAGTAAACATGCATTAAGTGTATAATTTCTGAGCTGAGTATCTTCAGCTCTGTGTTGATCTTAACATTGTACATACTATTTAGGAACCTCTCCTCTCTGATGCTTGCTGTATTCTTCCTCCTCTTTCTTTTTTAACTCATCCAAAGCATTCACACTGGGACTTCTCTTCATCATCTGATGTTTTGCTGATATTCCATTGATTTTGATAAAGTCTAAGTTATTTCTATGAAATTTAATCTGTCAATATAAAGAAAGCATGTGAAACATCTTACATAAATCTTGGTGTAAAAGTAAAGGCAAATAAAACATGTTTGTACCACATAAATAATCCCTATAGTATATGTAGACTTTATTCCCAGGAATAAACAACATAATAAACATGCTAAATTGTCCTATGTGCAGTTAATTTAATATGTACAGATACATGTATATGACTGTTAACATTACTTAGCCCACATTACTTTAACAGTTCTGCATTACCCATAGTCCCATACTTTGGTAAAATTTTTAAAAATGTAATTATAGGCTGACAAGTCCACAATACATGCAAACATAAGTGATATGTGATCAAGTTACTTAGTATACAACATAAGACCATAATAATTCCTACATGTATTTTTTCATCCCAACTTGCCCAAATTTTTACCACTGACTCATTTTTTTTAATTCGGATTTTGCAAACATCTTGATTCTGATTGCCAGGGATCATTATTCTACTTTCCATTCAACTTTCACTTTAAAATCCCATGACTGTGTACATGATTTTGACATCTGACAAGATGGTGTTTGCTGTAATATTTAACAAGGACAACTGGTTGTGAAAAATTGGTGAGGGTTTATTGTAAGAGATGTTTACATTGAAATGGAACTCTAAAAGGACTTTTATTTGGGCATGATAAGTAAATTTCCTTAGACTGATTAGATCAACAAAAATATATGTACAATGAAACAAATACAAAATCAAATTTAAAATCTGCCTGCCATAATTTTCAAAAAATATGGACAATAATCTACGATTTTTTTTTAATTATGGTCTTATGGACTAAGCTAAAATAATCAGTCTTAATAAAAAGACATAAACCTACCTCACTAGAACACCTGGCTGGGGGGACAGTTAGCTTCTCTGCTGGAGGGTCAGGGGTACAGGGACGAGAAATATTTTTAACAGAGGGACCGTTTCTTGAGTGTGCACGAAGGAAATTAGCTGACTTTGGCCTTGGAGCAGATGGAGGCCTCTGAATAAATTAACAAAATTAAATGTTCAATACATGTGTTACATCAGACTTTATCACATACTTAGTAATAAATACAGGTTTTTTGCATATGCAACATGCTTGACGTCACAATAGCCATATCAGCTTCTAGGGCTGATACGGATCCTGCAGGGCTGATACAGATTCATATCACACCCCTAGTAGATTAAACCTTAATAAACAAAACTTGTGATGATACAATGTACACCTTTTTTTGTTAACATTCACTTAATTTTAAATATAATAAGCTATATGTCAGTAGTCAGTGCATGATTAATTATTTGTATTTTTCTCAAGTTGATGTGTGCTGTATTTTATTACTAAGTATAAACATAATAAAACATACCCTTTTCCACATCACATCCTGTATCAGCCCTCGACCAATATCAGCCCCCAGGTCTTCAGCCTTTTGGCTGATATAGGATGTGATATGGAAAAGGGTATTTATTATTCTCTATATATCTGTCAACATTTACAATAAGGTGAAATCATTTAAGCACATCTAGCTATGCATAATTTGTTGATGAGTATCTACAAAGTATTGTTAATGTGTAACATATAAATTCAAACCTGTATGTCATCTCTGATTTTGGATGTTATTCCACTATATTTTTCTGATTTCCATAGTGCTTTGACTGGTTGGTGAGCATTGGCTTCTCTTTCCTTAGACTGTCTCTGAATTTGCCTCATTCTCTTCACATTTTCACTCAAATGGTCTCGCATTCTGCTCTCTGAATAGAAATGTGGCTAGTTGAATGTTTTTCTCTTAGCAAACAGAAAAAAATGGTACTGTGCTTTTCTTAATTGAAACACTAATATGGTGGCAATCAAACTGTTTCACAAATAAAATAGAATAATTAAAGTTATGCATCTTTTCACTAATTATAAGCTTAGATTGTTTGTTATTAATTAAAATGTAATATTAATTATGATTGCATGTCCAGTCATCCCTGTGACCCCAAGGGGTCCTTTATTAATCTGTACAGGTGAATGTATAATCATAAAGCATTTCTCAAACATGTGTATAGGCCTACATGTATTTTCTACTTTGTTTAATACCTGGGCGCCCTCCTCCAAAATGTGTTTGGCCATAGCCGCTACCACTAACCATCATCGTTCCTCCTCCGTGCATGCTTTTGTGAGTTCAATTACTGATCAGGGGTATATTTTTGTCATTCAATCTTAAAAATTATTACAAATATTTGCAATCAGCATGGAACTTACAACATTACTTGGTACCTTTTCATCACTAACTCTCAATCTTAAAAATTATTACAAATATTTGCAATCAGCATGGAACTTACAACATTACTTGGTACCTTTTCATCACTAACTCTCAATACTTTAATTTCTTAAATATAGAGTGTTTAACCATTTATCTTACGTCTATCATAAACATCTTATTTGAAGACAAAGCAAAGCAAATACATTGATCAAGTGGTTTCTATACACGCTAAAACACATACCTTCCATATTGAAAGTCACGTGACCAATCTTTAAAAAAAAAAATAAGCAAAGAATTTATCGGAAAAGACAAAAAGAAAACAAAATTAATATAACAGTACCAACTTGTAAATAAACTGAATTAAAAATTCATCTGATATATTTTTAGGAGAAAAATAAATGTCTCGTATTAACGAGAGCTTGTATTGTCTAGGTAACATCAACATCCGGTTTAAGCAAAACCGAGCGAAAACATGACAGATACGGGATAGTTCGGGATTTTATTTCAGGGTGTATTTTGTCAAAATATCGACTGAACAAAAAATAAGTAATCATGTCGCGAGCTGCCGTGTCCAAATCACGGGCAGACAAAGGCTCTAAGCCACCACCTGCACATACACCCGTGGTTGCACATGAAATCGTTCCTGGAAAATTCACAGATCAGGACTGGTATGCAGACGAGTTTCGTTACATTTATCTTCTTTTTGCTGTAATAAGACCACAGTCACTCGTTATAATAAAATGCTACAGAATATTACGTTAAATATAAGACTATATTGAATGTATGTAGATGCCATTTAGTTATAGCGCTTAGATGCACATTTTTTTCAAGCAGCTAATAAAATTTAATATTATCGCAGGAATATCATGTGGGTTTTTCTTAGCTTGATAAGAGACTGGGACTAGAACAATCATATTTCATATTTTTAATTGGATTTTTGGGTAAATTGTTGACCATGCACCCAGCAACCTGAAGCTTAATTGTAAATGAGCTGAAATATATTATGATTATTAAATATTACCATTTATACTCTGCAGGAATTTCATGCTTGACAAAGATGGAGCAGAGGATTTCATTGAAGACATTATGGAAGAGGTGGTGGATACCACAATGGAAAAAATATACGATATTTACATAGATAAACAACTCCTTCCATTCACAGTTACAATGGCAAAAGATGCGATTCTTCAAATAATTGATGTAAGATTAAAACAGAGCAGACAAAAATTATAAAATTTACAACACAGATATCATTTAATATTCTTTATTGCTTGTTTGTTTGTTGTGTCTGAGTTTTTTAAAGTTATTTGTATAATTAAAGTTAATTCTCAAGTTCTTTTATGTTTCAGTGGCAGTTTTTAGCGCGAGATGAAGGAGAAGTTAAAATTGAAACTGATCCTGGATGGATGGAAGATGAGGGTATGTGAAGTGCTGTTTACATTTTAAAATATTTTTAAAAAATAAACAATATTTGTATTTATTATTATTGGCACAAAAATTAGAAATATGCCATTTGATTTTCACTTTAAGAGCCAGATCCTGCCTCAACTGACTGCTGGGCCCAGGGATCTGTCCCAAAACAAATCATTCCTCCCAGACCTATTTCCCCTGTGGCAGAAGTCTTTGATGAAAATCCTGATGTTGAAGATGAAGATGTTTCTCCACTGTAAGTACAGTTAAATTTTGGTTTCTCGAATACCATGGATATGTCAAATTTTGTTGTAAGTCCCAACCACCTTTTCTATATGTATTTAAACCTCAATATCTCTAATACCTGGATATCACAAAGTTTGTTCTTGGGTGCCATCCAGTTTTAGATAATAAGGATTGACTATATCAATATTGTCCATGATATAATTTATTAAAAGAAAATAATCTAAGACGTGAAATTCTTGAGCTTTCAAATTAAGGTGCATTATTATTGCATTTTAATGATAACTCAATTGTTTGATGACAACTTTTTTTTAAACATTTACTATACAAATACAATATAAATACGTAATTATTCTGTAATTTGTTGAGACTTGTTGTAGAGGGTTAATGCACACATACATGCATGTATTAGGTACAAATTCATGAATTGAAATCTTTTTATTTTTTAGACCAGGGAAGGAAGGTACAAAAGTTGAGGAGGAGGTTCCAGAGATGGAAGACAAAGTCTCAGAAGCAGAAGAAGAAAGTCCACAAAAAACCAAAACCCAATTTAATAGGGTACCGATAGGATATTTGTGTTTTATTTTATCCAGGAAGTATAATGATAATAATAAATAAAATGGGTATGATAAAAAGTCCTCACTTATATGTGTATCTTAAACTATGCTTCAATTAAAATTACCGGGGTACTAGAATATTGTGAATAAAATTTAATTCATTTTAACATTTATGATTGTAATAATTTATATTTGTTGTAAAATGCAGTAATTTGCACTTAAATTGCACTCACTCTTTCAATATCACAGGGTAAGAAACCGGAGAGGAAGTTTAAGTTCAAGCCATACAAGGGTAGACTTGGCTCCAGTCATGTCAGCAGAATGTCTGAATCATTGGAAGAAACAGAGATGAAGATGGTAGCAGCTGAAATTGAGGCCAGTCTAGAATTCAAGCAAATGGACAAAGCCAGTGGTCTGTTGAATATGCCAGCATCATGTCATTCAATTCTCAAAGTAAGTTTTAAGCACATATATAATCTTTTTCTCTCTCTCATACTCTCATGTGTGTGTAAGAGAGTTATAGAGAAAGAGAATTACTTTACTACCAAAGTTCTTTTGAAATAGACAATTCTAAAAATGATATATATATATATAAATATTTATTAAACACATGCAAAAATTATGAACAATGTCTTCCTTTGATATGCCAGATTGTACTACATGTATAATTATTTTAGTGACATATCAGAAAGTCCCTGATATGCATTGTAGTGAGAATGCTCTTTAAAGGGGATTAACTCTTTCAGGTTCAGTCTGGAAGGCCACCAGGGAACAAAGATGTTGTTTATGATGAGATGGGCAATGTTCTGGCTGTTGTCAAATTAAACCCAGAAAAACTACCATCACATAAGTATGTATAAATATATTTTGAGCAATGCTTATAGATTTCATCTTTAACAATTTAAAGAAGAGAAGTTCTACAAAAAAATTAAAGATGTAGTTTTGATAAAATGAGAGTGAAAGTTGATGTTTTTCAGTATTTGCGGGTTGCAGAAGAGAGTTATTATTTCTTATTTCAGAGTTAAAGTTAATTATCAGGTAGTAGATCCATCAGTTGAAGCAGCTCAAGCCAGACTAGAGGCCATGCGACACGGAAAATTCATGAGAATAAAATTAAAGAAAAAGAAGACATCCCCAGAAGAATCGCTAGATAAATCTTTTGGTGAGCTACATTTGTATTGTATACATACATATAATGGAAAACATGTGATATCATTTTTCCCTAAATAATTTAAGGATATATATGCATTCATCTTAATATCTGTAAACTGTTGCAAATCAGAGTTCATCTGTTTGAATTTTCACTGAATAGTGCTGTGTGGTTGCTTGTAGCACTGGTTCCATAGTATTTGAATTTCTGCAAATTTCATCATGCTTTTACATGATACTATTTGATTAATATTAATGAATGATATTCATGTCTTATGATTTTCTCATATCCACTGTTGTAGATGATTCCTCATCTAGGCAAACAGATGCAAAGACCGAGTTACCTCCACCTATGGTGAGTAAAATACAGAAATCTTTGATGAATTATTTCAAATAGCTAATTAAAGTAATAATTGGGCACGTCTTACTTATAAAGATAATTTTTAACTTTGGTGTAAGCAAATTGAATGCAAATTCATAGTCTTTCAGATTATAACTTAATTATTTTCTTTTACTGGGGAACTGTTTACACATTCTACATGTGTATGTATCCATAATTTTTGAATTGTTTTTTTATTCTCCAAATATTTTTTTCTGCAGATAGAGACAATGGAACTAGCTCCTGGGGTGACAGTAAAGGAGGGCGGAAGAATTAGGAGAGGACCAAAGAGGGTAAGTCATCTAAATGTTACACTAGGAGGTACAAAAAACTTAATGTCTGGCAGTTGGTTCCAAAGAATTTTTGAAGGGTTATTTTCATTTGACTTTTTTTTTTCAAAGACTAGCTATCAATATGCAATAGAACTCATTTTGCCTATACATGTGTGTATCCATTTTTTCTTTCAAGAAGTAAATTTGGACTCTTTTGCAGTTTGTACTTAATGTAATTTACAAGGAAATCATCTTTATCTGAAAGAGTACTCATGTTTGGTATTACAGTATGTACGTAAATCTGATGTGTTAACAACAAATCTACAAGGACTACATCCAGTGGCCAATAAAACAACAAATCCAGCCCTAGAAGTTACTGATCTGCTTGACAGAACCACCCCAATACTTAGACCAATCAGAGACTCTCCCCCATTACCCCCCATTGTACCCCACCCTCCTAGTCAGCCCCGAATATCAACATGAGAGGGATGAGTGAGGGATTCCTAATGATTGGATTTAAATTCAAATTTGTTGTTGTCAGAATATTTCTGAAAAACAAGTGATTATATACTGTTGTTTTATATACAGTTACTCTACTTAATAGTACTATATACATACATGTAATGTGCACATGTTAAATTCTGCTTGACACAAATATCATTTTTTAAATGATGAAAGTGTCACTTGTGATATTCATGAATAAATCTAACAGTGAAAATTGATGTGAGAAATTGAATATGTGATTGTTATCAAATAAATTTTTATTATTTTTTTTAACTGATTCAAGCTTATATGTAATGTTGTTTTAGTGCACTAAAACCTATGTTCAGAGGTCAAAGTCTAATTTAGGTCATGATGTTGTAAAACACATCCTTTTAAAAGGTACAAATCTGCTAATTATTGCAAGCATAGGTTAAAGAAAAACTAGAGGTACTGTGAGCACTGAGCTCACAAAATGATACCCCACCTCCCATATGTTTATAATGGCAAAGTCCAAGTTTTGCTATGGGAGACCTGAGGCCTGTTCAACAGAGCGAACGTTCGCGAGCGCTCGCGAACATTTCTGTTGGAAAGATAAGGAATTTTGGCGAGCGCTCGCGAACGTTCGCTCTGTTGAACAGGCCTCTGAAATATGTGTCCGATAAAAAAGCGAAATAGGAGGTGCAAAATGGCACTATGTAACAAAGATTCTGTGGAAGTATCATTAAATTTTATTCAGTAGTATAAGAGGAGTTGTGGATAAGAGATGCATGGCTATCCCTCAATATTAGAGAAAGAATGGCAGTTGTCTATGTTTTGCTATTGGAAACCCAAACCATGCATCTGATCAAAAAAAGTAAAATAGGAGGTGCACAATGGCACTCATGTAACAAAGATTCTGTGAAAGTATTAAATTTTATTGAGTGGTATAGGAGGAGATGTGGATAAGAGATGTGTACCCCAAAGCGTAATGGATGGAAGGACTTACAAACAAACGGACGGACACCCCTATCACTATATACCCTCCACTTTTCAAGCAGGGGGTATAAAAATGACTTGACAAATAATTTGAATTTATAAGGTCAAAGGTTGGGTCATTTATTAGTCATGATTGTAACTGTTTTATGTTGATATACTTATTTAAGCTATATATGGTTAAACATAAAGTTTTGGCTGGTATGTTTCAAAATTCCCAGCCAAAAGCTAAGATTTGGTGCCGAGTGCACAGGTAAAGGTCAACTGCAGCACCTGAAAATCATCTTGCCATAATTACAGCGTAATATCATAATCCTGGGTAGATTAATAAAAATACTGGTACACGTAGTTCTAGCTGGTGGTAGCAGATTTTCTTTTCTCAAAAAATCACTATGAAGATAGTAAGACTGGATTTCAAGGTATTCAAAATTTGATATGAAATATGTATAAATATATATAGCCTAGACAGTATACTTAGCTAGATAGAAGCATATATCCAAATCATTTTCCAATTGTAAGGTAGGGATTGGAGTTGGCATACACATCTATATTCAAAATATTGCAACCAGGTAATCCACAAATAAAACTGCAGATAGTAAGTTTGGCAAAACCCAGGTTGACACACCTGGTACATTGCATAAACAAAGTTTTAAAAAGTTTTTAAAAAAATTGTCTCGCCTGAGCACTTCCACCTAATTTTTGACAATAGGAAATAAAATTTGACTCATCTTGAAAACAATATTATAAAACACTAATTTTTTTATCATTTCCACACCATTTTTACTCGATTGATACAATTTGAAACAAACCAATATGTCATGATTTTTCAAAAGTCTACAGAAATTTACAGTGTTATGAGGGAGTAGTAATTATTTCCGGAGATCAACCAAGTGTGACCAAATGGATTCTAAATGTGTGCCATGTCATTACTGAAAAGGCAAGTGATGAGAAATCTTGAGTATTTATGAATCCCTTTCTGAAATGGCTGGCATTATCATAGTGTCAGATCACCAAAGACTGCATTTGCTAATATTATACATGTGTAACAGGAAAGGAGAGAAATGAGACACACCAGTCCGGGATTTGAACCTGGGCCCTCTGAATCTCCAGTCAAATGCTCTAACAACTGAGCTATCTGGTCACTGGCGATTGAACCCATTTGACCACCACAATGGTAATCCTTCACAGAGATAAATGTGCTACGTACAGTTACAGATTTAAAGGTCAAAAGTCATGGTCACCATTTCCACTTTCAAGGTCAAAGTAATCTCTCTGATAAAGCCATTGAAATATCTTATCCTCTTTTATTTATGTGTATTTATGTGTGGTCTTTCACTACATAGTCATAGAAGACCTGCAAATATGTACATTATACATGGAACAGACTATACTTCCTGTCAGTGAAATGATTTTGGGGCACTGAGGAATTAAGAGCCATTCTGTGTAATGACTTGAACTTTTATATAGGAGCTGTGGCATGCATAGTCTCAGAATTTCTCCACACTCTCTAAGATAAAAGTCTTTGATGCAGTAAACTCAAATCAGGCAAAAACTGGTTGCTATGTGTCATGGTTACCATAGCAAGATGTCCTAAAGTTTGAAAAATGGCATTTTTCAACATGCTCAGAGTCCCCCAGTTAACATTTGCAGCAAAGCAAACAAGTGGCAATGGCTGTTTCTGAAAGTTGAAGGCCTGGTGTCTTATATGCATGATAAACATGTTTGGTAAATCAACTACTAAATACATAACTATGGAAACAAAGTATAATTCATCAAAAGTAATAATTTTGTTCATTTAATTCTATAAAGTCATAAACTTAAGAATAAAAACAATTAAAGGTTGAAATGCAAGCAAATAATAGACAACAGATCTTTGTAACATACCGTATATCCTCACCTATAAGTCGATCCGCCTATAAGTCGGTTGTATTTTTTGAGGTTATTTTGGAGGGATTTGCTATTGACCCGCTTATAAGTCGGTACAACTTTTTGTAAGAATCAGTTGACAATTTCAAATCAATGCTCTGATGTTTTAACCTGGTTTCGATTAATATTTTTAGAAACGACGCCGATATTTAATTTTAAATCATAAGAAAAAAACATAATGCACACTTAAGATAAAAAAAAGTTATCAAAATATGTAAATACTTGTACTTTATGTATAATTTTAGAATACATAAATGATATAATATATCCAGACCTTGTTCAACGATAATCGTGGGAAATGTTTAAAAAATCTTACACTTCCCCATCCAGAAAAATACTAATCTTTTTATGACTCGCCTATAAGTCGGTCATAGAGTTTTAGACCGAAATTCAACTCCCAAAAAACCGACTTATAGGCGAGTATATACGGTATACCAAGGACGAAATATGATATTTCTTATAGGTTGGCAATGGTTGCCATGGTTTTTATACCACGAAAGGATTTTAAATTTACTCTCTTAGTGTTTTAATCTTATCCTATCTTTTTAAAAAGCATATTTCTATATAACAGATGATCAACTTTTAAAGGCGTTGGTGTGACCCTGATTTTCACATTTCAAAAAATTCAAATTCATTTCTTTAAATAGAATGTTGCTATGGAAATAAGGCGAAAAAACATGCATAAAAATCTGAAAAATATTCTGTTTCCTTGGATACGTACCCTGGTATGTAGATTCCCAAAACTTTATATATATATGAAAACTAACCTGCCTTTCAATTTTGACTACCACCAAATCTCTAACTGCATGCAAAAAGCTGGCATATAAGGTTTAATATTGACACAAAATTAACAAAATCAAACATTTTCTCTTCTTGGAAACCATAGCAACAGTGTTGTATTTTTCAACAAACTTTATCAATATATGATATTCAACTTTAGTTCTACCAGATAAGTACTATTCAAGGTTAGTCAAATAATATGTTTCTTGATTAAAAGGTAAATAAATTCCCAAAGCAGCAAAAATATATCACTTTAAACAACTAGTAGGTTGTTTCAATGGTTACACTGCAAAAAAAAAAAAACAACAACAATTAATCCCAATTTTTCTTATGTTGTTGGTGTTGCAAGGTCCTAAGGATGTATATGTGTCAGTCATGAATTTTATTGTTTTTTCCTCAAGATAGTAGCATTAACCCAATCACACCAACAGATTTTGCATGGTAACACTGTGTTACCATGACAACCATGAAAGTTATTTTTAGAATAATATTGCCAATACCTGATTAATTAAGGTCAAATATCTTTTATTGTTTTTCTTAAGTTGTTGATTGAGTTTGATCATGTAACATCTATCATTTGTGAATATTGAGTGTTTTTCAGCATCTAAAATGTATTCAAAATGTACCCATGGTTACCACTTACTTAGAGATAAATTCTAAATAGTTTCTTTATAGCATAAGTTGCAACAAAGTGTCATATTTTGGGGTTTGTTTGTTTTTCTTAGTCTTTATTAAGGCTTAATAAAGATTCAAAGTAGCTGAAAATCTCAATTTGTTCAACTTTTCTGGCTGTTACCATGGCAACCAAGACACATAGCAACAAAAATTGATATATGTTTCTGGTGTCAAGTTGTAATAATGGGCAAAGTTTCATCAAAATTGGTGACCATGTGTGGCAAAGAAGTTTAAGTGGTTACAGAGAATCACTATTAACTGTCAAGGCAGGTCTCAGAAACAGAATGAAACTCTTTGAAAATCCTGCCAGCCTTTCAGTCCAAATTTTGTTATAGTTACATAAAGTAATAAAAACAGATTTGTGAAAAACTTAGTAACCCAAGTTACTAATCTTGTTATCTCTGGCTTGCTTGCTGACTGGAATTTCAAACTTCATACTCTGATCGTATATACTTCTCATTACATTTCATGTTTACCAGGTACTACTGAAGATGTGTGGATGAGAAAATGAAACAACTGAGCAAATTTCACAATTTTATTTGTCGGGTAACAATTTAAGTAGGACAAATATCACATTGCAATATGCCCTAACTATAAATTCATACTGATACATATATAACAAGAACAATTGTATCCAAAAGATATAATGGACAAGACTGCAAAATGTTCACTGTACATGGAAAATCTTGCAATCAATTTATGATATACAATAGGGTTTTCTTCCAGCAAAATTAATTTCATCATTATTTATAGCAGTAGCTGCAACAAAGTGAATGTTAAAAAAAGCAAGTACATAACTGTACTTTAGAAAAAGAAACTTTAAATTTTAAACCTTCCAAGATATCTGGACTACATTGCATTTTACAAAGAGATTTAATTTTGATAAACAAATACAGTGTATGTTCCCTTAACCCACAATAAGACATAAGACAGTAATAACATTATAAAAAAAACAAGAATAACTCCAAACTGGATGGAATAGGCATTATCAGCACAAGATATGACACACTGTATATGTCACAGAGACATTTGTTATGCCCCTTGAATACTCCCTACATCCTTTAAATAATTCATTGATTTTATGGTGATTTTGTTCACAGATACATAAAGATAATGCATATGACAAAGAACCTGAAGTTTCTGCAGTTTAAATATCAATGCTTCAATCTCTCTGAATTACAGAGACTGATGTCCAGTTTCCTTGTAAGAATTCTCCACTATTAATTCAAGAGAATGTTAAATTTCAATGCCCATATTTCATTTACTGTTGAAATTGATATTTTCTGTTAACAATTTCAATTTTTCTTTAAAATAAAAAATCGAAAAGCAGTTTGTTGTAATTTTACAATAGATAGAACAAGAATATTTATCAGAATTGAAGTCCTAGATTTACAGATTGCTTAATCATTACAGGAAACTAGTGAGGGAGAAGTTGTTAAATGCAATGTGATCCTACAAATACAGTAAAATGCAAGATTGCATACACAAAAACATATAGCCAAGCCAAAAAATTGGAATAAAAATTTTTTAGACACCGAAATTATCTGGACAAGCAGATTAATAATTATAATAAAAAAAAAATAGTGAAATACAAGTATTCCACATTTTATTTTTTAAGATCTGTAGCACTCATTATTTCATTTCTAGACAAATGCAAATCTCTGTAAGTTTTTCTATATTTTACTCAATGCAAATCTTTGAAATCCTGATGATAAAACAAAGTGCATGATTTTTCCCTGATTAATAGCATTACATTTAATATTTAAAAAAATGAATTGATTTTCTTAGCATATCTGCAGGGTAACAAAATCAGGATACAATACATGGCTCCTCAAATTATTAATGGCATCAAAACATATTGTATGGTACGATAGCTACATTTTCAGGATGTGTATATTTTTAAAATGGACTATATTCACGATTCTTGTATACATGAATGTGACAATGGAGACTAAAGATAGTAGGTGACTAGTGGGGATTCAGCTGACCTGAATAATACATGCACTTCCAAACTTCTCATGAACCTTGTCCATTCCTCTCATATTTCACAGTTAACACAGTCTGCACAAGTAAATCTTGCATAAGACATTTTTTTCCTGAAACACCAGATTACACACGTACTTAAAGCTGAATAATTACAAGTGCCATTTTGAATCACTAATGAAATCAAGATCTTAGACAGGGCTCTAATTGGTGACTAATTTAGTCACCAGGGCACCTAAAAATTATGAATGGCGCCTAAAATTTTTCTGTAAGTCGCCAAATTGGTGACCATTTTAAATTTACTTGATGTTTGTCAGATTACTGAACTATAAACATTTTCACTTTTTTTTATAAAGAGGAGAAAAGTTAGCAATGGACATGTCTCTATATATTGACTAATATCAGTTTTTAAATAGGTGCCTAAGAAAAATTTACCTGGCGACTAAAAATTTGCATTGGCGACTATATTTTTTTGATTAGGATTTAGGAGCCAGTTGGCGCATAAATTTTAGGAGTCACATAGAGGCCTGTTAGAGGTTTGACTTGGAATGATTAGTTTCTGAGGCAGATAACAACCAGTTTACATAAGTTTTAACTGTTGTGTGGGCAGTAGGGTATTATGCAGTGATCCCTGGATGACTGTTGCTGGTGGGAGAACCAACAGGGGACAGTCTGGCCGGAGAATCAGGGCGGGGGCCCTGTAAATTGTCTATGATTGGTTGGATATCACCCCACACTTTTCCAAGCTGAAATACATGACACAAGATTTCTCATTTAATAGTTTATTTGAACATGTTGACTGATTAATTTAAAAAGTATAACACTTACTACGAAAGTAAAAACTATTGCAATTTATTTAACATATAATAAATTGCAGAATAGGGTTTATTTAGGACTTGCCTCCCTGTGTGCTTTAGCTTGAATCTTTGTCATGTCACCCAGGATGTCATATAAAATATCCAGGTTGGCATGAATCAGTTGTGTCTCCATTTGTAAACAATGCAAACTGTAGTAATTTCTGTTCTCCATGTTGGCTATCTGACCCTCTTGCTGCAATATACAAGTTAAAGATCCAACATTTCAGAAACATTTAGTTTTTTTTAATGTTAATGTTACTCATATATTTACATTAATTTTAATCAAACAGCTATGTATAAAGGTAATGTAGTTACATCCAAAAGCTTTGTCAAAAGAAAAAAAAAATGATTTTAAAAATTGTTATGAGTTTTAAACTCACATCAAGTATTTTCTGCTCCAACTGTTCAACAGCACCAGCCTGATTCCAAATAAATATATACAATGATGAGACTTCCAAGATATTTCAGAATAATACATGTCCAAATGCACTAATTTATGATCACATTTATTTTAAAATTGATTAGGAAGATTATGCTTAATTTTTAGTGCCCTAATCTATGTACATGTATATGTACACCTACAGTATCCAGATCCTTCAAAGTAACACAATAAATTACAGCAGAACTGTACTTTCTATATCTTCCTCAATCAATCTTAATAAAATTCTTCATTTTAATTACTATTTTATAAACAATGTGTTCAATTACTTTTGACTCCATTTTAGAAAAAAAAAGAGGCAAGAATTGTATCCAAAATGCAGGGAACATTTACCAAAATCTGTAAGTAAACACCAGTCATATTTAAATGACAGAAACTCAGTATAAGCATGATTGAACTGCAGTATTTACAAACCTCTGAAGAGCTAACAGTTGCAGACATTTTCTTCTTTTTATACTGCCCCATTTTAGCAATGGCCCTTTGATGATCCTGTAGAACCCCTTTCTCATGTCTCTCACATAAATCCTGAAAAAAGGAGTCTGATTGTTATAGTAAATCAACTTGATACTTGCATTCTTAGAAAGCTAAATACAGCAACACTGCATATGGTACCTGTGTTTAAGGATTAAAGATGCTGATCCATGTACCACGTATTAAAGACATACAAGATTCAAGTATTCATGTATTCAAAAATTGCTTGTTTATTTATATTTACCTCCCTGTCAACTTAAAAATTTATGATTAAATTTATTTTAAGTAATCATATTCTATTAGTTCACTTACTCTGTAAGATATTAACATATCCTGGAAGAATGATAATTTCTCTAGAACGTGTTCATCTTGGTCTCCAGCCTGAAAAATAATTTAAAAAATCAAAAATAAATAAAAATAAAAAAGGCTAAGTAAAGAACATTCCATTTAGTAATTTTTTTCTAGTTAAAGTGTCTTTTTTGAAGAGGTATTTGTTTTCATACAATCACAAAAAAGAAAGATTCATTTCTGATTTCTTTTTTAATTACAAAGCTGAACACTAAGAGCAGGCATCTGATTTAACATAATGGTTGTCTCCCTTTATTTATCTACTTCATCTATTGCATGCATATGTACATGTTTCTTGATCTTTATAATGTATATATTTCTATGACTTTGAATAAACACGTGTACACTGTATTTAATAAAAGACTCTGGTCCTGACCTCTACTGAGCTTTTTTCTGATATTGCAGCATATTCCACAGACAGGTGCTTGAATCCCTTCTGTAGGTGGTTCCAGGTGTCAGTAGTTCCTGTTGCCCAGGCTGAGATGGGGGTACTGTCATTGCTTAATTGACTACAATCACAGTAAATAAAGAATCAATAACATTTATTCTGGATATTCATACTGCTTCTGACACAGTTAGGAAGATATGGCAGTTAATTCAAGATTTTTTAAGGTGTAAAACATGCTATTTTAACTCATTGTAAATATATTTTATCATAACCATCAATTTCAAATAAATTTTAAAACTACAGAGAATGAAAATCACTTCATCAAAACCATTAATTCATTTTTAACCTGTTTGGTAAATTTAACAGTTTACTGTAAACTGAAAAAATTATAAAGACATACAAAAACCACAAGCAAAAATTCACTTTCCATAAAGAATGACTGAAGGGTGATCTTTGAAAATAGACTTTTCCTTTTTAGAATATTTTGAATTCTTTACTGGGTATAACATTATTTTTTTCTTTTTTACTTTTTTGTTATCACAAGGAATACTGAAGCGAATGCCAAGGCAGTAACTTTGACCTTTACTTTACATTTTGGGACTCCTAAATATATTTCCTAACATACAAGCTATGAACATCCCTCTATCCTTACCTTAATTCCTGCCCAAACTGGAGCATATCACAGGCATAGTTAGTAGCCCTGAAGACCATTCTCTCAGTGATGTCTTTTAATTTACAGACACTGTTATATAAAATCCTAATATGTTCCTTACTGTTAGAAAGCTGGGTCTGTGTATCCATGGGCACCAGATCCTGAATGGATAAAACGTTAGTGAAAAGCTTACAGTAAGGGAGAGAAATCAACATAACAAGGATAATTAATGTATATAACTGCACTCTCTGCATGACAAATAGAATCAACTTGATATCAAACTTTCTGTTGCTGAAAACATCGCCATATTTAAACCTTGGAGGATAATTAGTCTTAGAACAAAGTTATCAGAAAAAAAACCCAGACAGAATGCTTGATGTAAGGCATCCGCAAAATTTTTGCAGGTCCTATCTACATACCTTGGCTTGACTTGCAAGGTTGCTGGTCATAAATTCATCTGGGATTCCCCTAAAAACCTCTTTTATCTTGTGCAGCATATCCTATTTGAGACAAATGTGAAAATAATTTAACGTGGTATGGGATATGTTATAGTTACACTACAGATATTAATTGGTTAGCGGTAAATACACTCGCAGTTTTTCATTCAGGAGGGGCGGAGCCCCGAGTGAATAAAAACTGTGAGTGTATTTACCACTAACCAATTAATATCAATTAATATTTATTGTGTAAGTTACTTGTACCAGAGGACCAATGAGAGAAAAGCAAGTTGGTAATTAGGGCCGCCTACTACGACGGTCAAGTTACGGTCCGGAGTCTGTATAAATAGTTGTCTCCATCTGCAAGGATGATTAATAAAAAAATGAAATGATTTCTGACATTTTAATGAAAGTTTGAAATGGTATTGGATGAAAAAAAAAAAATGCGGGGACTTCTGATGTGAAATTGCTATATGTATTTACAGATGGGAAAGAGAATGACGAGAATTCGAGATAGGACGTATCATTTACTGATTAAGGATGTGCGGAGAAAACATACAGAAACATTTATGAAGCGAACACCGACAAGCTAATGCTAGTATTCTTGAATTGAAAATGTTGACTTAATTCATTCATCAGCCATTGCCAAGGTCTGGAAATTATCGTCATTCATTCATCAGTCAAGGTCTTGTCACAGTATGGCTTGATGCCAAAAGGTGGGCGTGACTTAAAAAAACGGTGATTCTTCTGGCAAATACACCACAGCAACATCAAAGCAAAATCTAAATTTACCGCCAGTCCTATGGTACAAAAGACAAAACTTCTCCTAAATACATGTATTTATTTACCTAAATTAGTATGATTTGGAAATACCCCAATTTTTCAGTATGTTAATTTATTTGTAATTTTAATATTTTTTTTATTATTTTAATGAGAAACACAAAATGATTTTCTTCTTACATAATTCTTTTTTTTTTTTTTTTTCAAAAGCTTCATATTAAAGGCAAGAGTTGACTCATATAGGGTTGATATAAAACAAAAATGACAAGAAATAAGTTTTAGTTTCAACCCCCCCCCCCCCCAAAAAAAAAAGCATGCAGATATATATATATATATATATATATATATATATATATATATATATATATATATATATATAAACTTGGAAAACTTCATTTCTTGAAAACAGATGGATAAAATTCCAAGGCAGTCTACAATTAGAATGTGTCTAAATATTTTAAGAAAGTGAAATATACAAATTGAAAAAATGGAAAATATCAGATGCATTTAAAAAAATTTTAATTAAAGGATACAAATGGGAGAGTCACCCTTCTTTATTTTTGCAGAGCTGAAATAACCTAGCTGCTATTTCAGAAATTATGAGCATCCCCCCCCCCCCCAAAATGCACCTTTGTGCAGTGGTAGTTTTGAAAACAATGCATGAACAATCGCTTTCCACGATTTGTCTCCTTTAGAGCAATTTCAATCAAAGTTCTAAAATTTTGGGCTATATACATATATAGCTAGTCGATTTGTGACCTAACCATTACTTTTTGAATGAAATAACAAAGAAGACTACATGTAATTGTGGTTAACATATGATAACTGATTGCTAATAATTCAGTACAATTCATGCCTCATTGCACTCAAGGTGCTGTGCAGTACCCAAATACGTCTTTTGCTTAAAGTGTCAAAATCAGTAATGTTTAAACTATCTTTTACAGGGTTTGCTTTTTAAAACTGTCCATAGTACAATTATCAATAATAGTTTATACTTATTTGCAATTTTTTGTCTATCTTAAATAAAATGACAACTTGTGAAAATTTGCATTAAAATAGCTTCAGTGTGTGTCTTTTACTCAGTGTACCTACTAATTTTGACCTGATAATAAGCACTCGACCAAATCAAAAACATACTTCAAATGGAAGTACATCATAAGCTGGAGGTATCCTATATTACCATAACTTCATATTGTGTTTTACTTTATAAACTAGAAATATGTCCATAGGACATGAATGCCCCGCCGAGGGTATATTAGTAATGCAACATTTTTAACACAAATTGAGAAAAGTGAGGTCAAGGTCAAAGGAAAGGTCAAGTTGAAAAATATTAATGCAGTTGAATAGCTTACATCAGTATGTATCAGCATATGAAGTTTGACACTACTTTAAGAAAAGTGAGGTCAAGGTCAAAGGAAAGGTAAAGGTAAAAAAAAAAATAGTGATGCAGTGGAATAGCTCTCATCAGTATGTATCAGCATATGAAGTTTGATAACACTATCTTGAATGGTATCTTTAAAACTGAGCTAAACACTAATTTGAGAAAAGTGAGTTCAAGGTCAAAAGAAAGGTCAAGGTCAAAAAATGTTGATGCAGTTGAAAAGCTTACATCAGTTTGTATCAACATATGAAGTTTGATAACACTATCTTGAATGGTATCTTTAAAACTGAGCTAAACACTAATTTAAAAAAAAAGTGAGTCAAGGTCAAAAGAAAGGTCAAGGTCAAAAAATGTTGATGCAGTTGAATAGCTCTCATCAGTATGTATAAGCATATGAAGTTTGATAACACTATCTTGAATGGTATCTTTAAAACTGAGCTAAACACTAATTTAAGAAAAATGATGTCAAGGTCAAATGAAAGGTCAAGGTCAAAAAATGTTGATGCAGTTGAATAGCTTACATCAGTATGTATCAACATATGAAGTTTGATTACACTATCTTGAATGGTATCTTTAAAACTGAGCTAAACACTAATTTAAGAAAAGTGAGGTCAAGGTCAAAGGAAAGGTCAAGGTCAAAAAATGTTGATGCAGTTGCATAGCTCTCATCAATATCTATCAGCATATGAAGTTTGATAAAAATATCTTAGATTGTTTCTTTGAAACTGAGCTTTGAACAGAGCTAAACGCTAAGTGTGACGGAAGGACAGACGGAGGGACGGAAGACGGACATGACAAACACTATATGCCCCAGCCATATTCATGGCGGGGCATAAAAAGCATGCATGAAAATCAACTATTTAAGTTTTTACCCAAATATTTTGTATTCATTTTGCATCGAGGTATAACTTATTCTATAAGTAATCAATGCATATTTTGTAAGATCAATTTGACCAAAATTTGGACACATTCTTTGCTTATAATTTTGATCATGCCTCATAAGTTATATCTTTGACAAAATATTTCAATAACTCTGTGTCAGTGTTCTATGATATAGTTCCAGACCTGTTTTCATTGTTATTGTATGATCCTAATGATCCTATAAGTTCTAACTTAACTTATTAAAAGTAAAAAAAAAGACAATTAAGAAAAAAAAATCATAGTTTTGATTGGTTTACATACAGCATTCACCTTAAAATGCAAAAATCAGCCAAATTCTACCTGGACCTAATGAACAACAAAGTGATTACAATAATTACACAAAAGTATGTATGAGGATTGATGTCCAAATAAAACAAGTTTTAAATGAATTTTACTGTACATTTAGTAACCCCCTCCCCTCCCCCGCCTTATAAGCTTATAATGGTGCTTGTTATTGATATCCCATCACATATATGTATGATTAATGATGATCAAGACTTACTGTCCCTGAATAAGTGAAGAAGAATTTGACGAGTTTGTCATCGTACATCTGCGGATGCCTTGCAATCAAGTTCAGAAATCGCCGCAGACCTTTACGTCTCTGCTCTATGAACTCTCTATTTCCTTTAAAAACAATAGTAGGAATTTCTTAATGTGATAACAAATTTTTTTACTAAGGATTAATTGAAATATCATCTGACAGCTGATATAAAAAAAGAAAAAAAACTTATTACTGAGTTTAAATTATAGTACAAATATTTCTTTCAGTATTGTTTATTCTTTGTTTACTATGTAATATTGGCCTTGACTGCAGCTATTAACTCTGAACAAGGACACATGTACTTTATTGATTAATTTTTAATGATTGATTGATTTTAAGTCAGACTGTATGAGTTACCTCCCATCATCTTCTTAGGGGGCAGTCTTGGAATAAGCCTATAGGGAAATCTTGTCATTAACATTTCTTGGAATGCCAGAAAGTCATTGTATCTTCTCAACACTGTGGTTTTACAAACCTATACAAATAAATTAAATTACAATAAAATGTGTACTAACATAGGGTCAAAAACTAGGAAAGGAAATGTTTAATTCAATATCTATTTATAATCTATTTAAAATCTTTTGTGTATACTAAAACATTGAAAAACAAGGATATACACGTTTACATGAATTTTCTGATTTCCTCAGTAAACCTAACAAATCAACAAAAATCCTTGAAACAACAAAATACTTGACACAGAAATATACAGTCTTAAATACAACTTTATAGCTATAGACAAGAATGAAATACTCTTTTAAAGTTCATGCATGGTTAATGTGCTCCTTAAATAAACAAATCACAAAAAACACATTTAACAGGTCCAGCACAATGTCTTGATTTAGCTATATAGCTTGAAATAGCTATATAGCTTTATTTAGCTATTCAAAATAGCTTGATAAAGCTATTTCTATGCAGATTTTCACAAAAACATTTTTTGTAAGAAATAAACAAAAAGTCGCAAATATTTGACTATGCATATATGTACTATGGGCTATGAAAACAACAACCGAAATCAAAAACAATTCTAACATTGCAACTTTTGAATACTTTTAAGCAAAAGATGAATTTCCATTGTTTGAGTAACTGCGTACTACCTTGTGTGCGTTGAGGCGTGGATAAGTATGATTGCTTTTCATTGTATTGAATTATCTTGTTGCCCATAACTGGCCTTTAAAATTTCATTGAAGAAGTAACTGTTTCAATTGCTTTATATAGCCCCAAAACATTTAGAACTTTGAGTACAAAGTCTCTTTAGGAGACGCAATTTGATGAGTGATTTTTATATGCATTATTTTCAGAAGAGTTCAAGGTTGAATATTATCACTGCACCAAGGTGCAACTTTTTGTACATGCTGAGAAAATAACACATTTAAGAAAAAAGGATGGTAAAATAGCTCAATCAAGCTATTCTGAATAGCTTAATAAAGCTATATAGCTAAATCAAGCTATATAGCTAAATCAAGCTATATAGCTAAATCAAGAGATTGTGCTGGACCTGTTTAAAAAAGACAATTGAATAAATGATATACGAAGGGCAGGTCATGTACTAAAACCACTTTTGTTTAAAAATTGCATGAGAATTTACACATAGATGAGCTAGCTAGGTCTTTTTGTTTCATTACCATTATTTTGTATTGTTTAAAACCAGAGTACAGAAATTGATAGAATGTAAATAACTAAAGTCATGTAAATCCGCATATAATTAAGAATAAGGTATCATTTTAAAATTTTTATCAGGATGCAAATATGGTTGGTCATGTGATCAAATCCCATAAAGCCCTTGGGGCTTTATGGTAGATTTGATCACGTACCAACCCATATTTACATCCCAACAAGAGGCCCATGGGCCACATCGCTCACCTGAGCACATTGGCTTGAATTTTAAACTACCTGATGATGCTTCCATGTCAATACAAGAGGCCCATGGGCCACATCGCTCACCTGAGCACATTGGCTAGGCAAAAGCACAATCAGTTCAGTATTGAAAAGACCGGGGGGTGGGGGGGGGGGGAGGGGGGCTCCTCCCTATCCCAGGGGTCATCATTTGAACAAACTTGAATCTACACTACCTGAGGATGCTTCCATATCAATATGACTAAACATAGCTTTTCTGTTCTTGAGAAGAAATATTTTTTCTATGTGTTCTTATGTAAAACTTTCCATCCCCCATTGGGCCCCATCCTACCCCTGGGGGTCATCATTTGAACAAAATTGAATCTACACTACCTGAGGATGCTTCCATATCAAAATGACTTAACATAGCTTTTCTGTTCTTCAGAAGAAGATATTTTCCTTTATATTTCTATGTAAAACTTTGATCCTCCATTGTGGCTCTGCCCTACCCCTGGGGATCATGGTTTGAACAAACTTGAATCTACACTACCTGAGGATGCTTCCATATCAATATGACTAAGCATAGCTTTTCTGTTCTTGAGAAGAAATATTTTTCTATATGTTCTTATGTAAAACTTTCCTTCCCCCATTGGGCCCCACCCTACCCCTGGGGGTCATCATTTGAACAAAATTGAATCTACACTACCTAAGGATGCTTCCATATCAAAATGACTAATCATGGTTTGCAGTTCTTCAGAAGAAGATATTTTCCTATATATTTCTATGTAAAACTTTGATCCTCCATTGTGGCCCCGCCCTACCCCCGGGGGTCATGATTTGAACAAATTTGAATCTACACTACCTGAGGATGCTTCCATATAAATATGACTCATCATGGCTTTGCTGTTCTTGAGAAGAAGATTTTTAAAGATTTTTCCTATATATTTCTATGTAAAACTTTGATCCTCCATTGCAGCCCCGCCCTACCCCCGGGGATCATGATTTGAACAAATTTGAATCTACACTACCTGAGATTGCTTCCATATAAATATGACTCATCATGGCTTTGCTGTTCTTGAGAAGAAGATTTTTAAAGATTTTTCCTATATATTTCTATGTAAAACTTTGATCCTCCATTGCGGCCCGGCCCTACCCCCGGGGGTCATGATTTGAACACACTTGAATCTACACTACCTCAGGATGCTTCCACATAAATATGACTTATCATGGCTTTGCTGTTCTTGAGAAGATTTTTAAAGATTTTTCCTATATATTTCTATGTAAAACTTTGATCCTCCATTGTGGCCCCGCCCTACCCCCGGGGATCATGGTTTGAACAAACTTGAATCTACACTACCTGAGGATGTTTCCATATAAATATGACTCATCATGGCTTTGCTGTTCTTGAGAAGAAGATTTTTAAAGATTTTTCCTAAATATTTCTATGTAAAACTTTGATCCTCCATTGTGGCCCCGCCCTACCCCCGGGGGTCATGGTTTGAACAAACTTGAATCTACACTACCTGAGGATGCTTCCATATAAATGTGACTCATCATGGCTTTGCTGTTCTTGAGAAGAAGATTTTTAAAGATTTTCCTATATATTTCTATGTAAAACTTTGATCCTCCATTGTGGCCCCGCCCTACCCCCGGGGGTTATGGTTTGAACAAACTTGAATCTGCACTACCTGAGGATGCTTCCATATAAATATGACTCACCATGGCTTTGCTGTTCTTGAGAAGAAGATTTTTAAAGATTTTTCCTATATATTTCTATGTAAAACTTTGATCCTCCATTGTGGCCCCGCCCTACCCCCGGGGGTCATGGTTTGAACAAACTTGAATCTGCACTACCTGAGGATGCTTCCATATAAATATGACTCATCATGGCTTTGCTGTTCTTGAGAAGAAGATTTTTAAAGATTTTTCCTCTATATTTCTATGTAAAACTTTGATCCTCCATTGTGGCCCCGCCCTACCCCCGGGGCTCATGATTTGAACAAACTTGAATCTACACTACCTAAGGATGCTTCCACATGAGTTTCATCTTTCCTGGCCCTATGGTTCTTGAGAAGAAGATTTTTAAATGATGCCATTATTTTTTCACTAATTCCTAATTATCTCCCCTTGGAAGAGGACATGGCCCTTCATTTGAACAAACTTGAATCCCCTTTACCCAAGGATACTTTGTGGCAATTTTGGTTGAAATTGGCCCAGTGGTTCTTGAGAAGAAGTTGAAAATGTGAAAAGTTTACAGACAGACGGACGCCGGTCAAAATGTGATCAGAAAAGCTCACTTGAGCTTTCAGCTCAGGTGAGCTAATAAAAGTTTTAAAATGATACCTTATTACTTATATTTACATCTGTGACAGATTTTTAACAAATACATGTAATTGGGTACTATAATTTTAAAACCATGAAATGATTTTTTTTTTCAAACCTCAACAGTATAAATGTGTTGAACATGTCTACTACTTATAATGTCACTATGAAATTACATTAATTGTTTATGATTACCCTAAACAATGAATTTATGGTCAGATGATGAACCTGTTTATACACAGATGTAAATACACCTAGCTCAAATAATTTTACATAAGGGAAAACATTTGCAAATGTCAATATATGGTGACTATATTAACTTTTTTTACCACTTATTTACAAATATCTGTACTGAGAAGAAAAAAAGAAGCTCAATAAATCATACTTTATAAGATGCACTTATGAAACACAATTAAGTTATATATAAATATATTTATGTCACAATTAAGTAACTCTGAGTGGCCATTTCTGTTCCCTGTTTCTTTATAAGATCTCTATCTTGAAATGTTGAATCCCTCAGTACCAGTTCCTTGCCATTAAGCCATCTTTCAATACGTAAAAGTTATGAAGAGTATTGATTCTTGATTTTCTTTTATCACTTCTCTTTTTTTTTTTTTTGTTTCTTAACACTTGATGTTACATTTTTTTCTATAGGCACACACACATAAAAAAATTTAAAATGTAAAATCAACATCTACTGTTAAACTTATTATTTACGCTAGAGAATGGGGTTAAATGTGAGCTACTGAGAGACAAACATTACACATGATGGGTGTAAAATATGCAGGCTTGAATTTTCTGCTAACGATGTTCCGAGAGCTTAGATATTTTTCTACCATACACAGGGGAATTTACCCAACTTTAGGCCTACATAGAAACTTCTTTATCATGTTTATAGTAACATCAGTGTACAGAAAGTCTGATGGACAGAAATATGGGTTAGCTTCAAATAACTACTGTTCTGATTTGTAAAAATGGGCTTCATGTATCTAATATTATGCCCTATTTTATTATTCAACCTGCTGCAATGACATAGTACACTTATTTAATGTTAACACTTTACAAAACAGTAATAACTAATAACAAAGTCCAATTTTATTAGAAGAAAAATGATCTCATTCCAACTGCATAACATCCCTCTGTCCATCAGCAACCCAATTATCAGTAACCCAATCCTTACTCAGCTCTCATCCAAGTTTATAAGTACATCTACTTAACTTCAAGGACCTCTTTGTGTTCTGTATTCTACATGCCTTTATCATGTTCTGTAATTTCATTTCCTCTCAAATAAATAATTAAGAGGATAATTTAGATTTGTTAGCATAGTTAGATAATTGTTAAAATTTTATAGAGGCTTATGGTTTCTATACCATGAAATTCAGGGGGGAAAAAATCTAAATTATATTCATATTAATTAATTCTTTCTTTAAGAATTTATTGTAAATGAGCATCTCAGCCACTGAAATGTACACACAACTGATTTCATGATCAAACGTGGCACATCAGGATATTTCTACTTATGCATGTATTTTCATACATATCACTGTGATTTTTTTCAAAAATTTATCAAGATTTCAGCCAACAGAAAAGGGAACAGACACTTATTTGAAGTAAACAAAATTTGAGAACTTCAACAGCTGTTTCTAGCTATTGTAGAGAATAACACTAACTTTTTTCCATGTATTTTAATTTACCTTAATTTTGCTCAAACAAATGAAATCTAAGAACACAGCTGATATAAATGTATATTGTGTAAAACAGTCAGGCTGTTTACATTGCAAATTTTTAGAAACATGCTTAAATACTTGATACATTTTAATGAATAAATTCAAGAATATGTAATTCTTAGTTATATATTGCAAAATTTCTATCATAATCTATTGTACACCAATTAAGATGAAACCCATGAACATAATTAGAAAATCTTAATTTTTCTTCATGGAAAGTTCTAAAGATTTAAATGCATGCAGTAGAAAACAATTTCTTAATGAAAGATCCTTTAATGCCCTTACCTGGCTTGTGACTTCATATTCCACATGTTTTAGTATAAGTCCTTTCTTCTCAGGAACAAGTTCTACTTTAATTGTGTCCAGTTTACAAAGTTCATGGTAAGAATATCCTAGTACATTGGGAGATTTCTGTCTTCGCATTTTGATGCTTGTTGCCCGTAAGTCTGATAAATCACCTAAGTTGGGTCTTGGAAGTTCTAGAAAATGGTTACATTAAAATAAAAACTTGGATTAAAATGATTAAATTTTTAAATGTTTAATTCTTTCCTATGCTATCTTAATGCTGTCTATCCAAGTCTAATGGGATAAAAATCTAGATCTTTTTTTAACATATGAACCTATATATTCATTATTTACAGCCATCATTTACTAAAGCTGATAACTAATCTCACCATGCCCAGAAAAACTCTCCAATAGTTTTTCACTGACAGTTTTGCCCTGCTGGGCCAGGGCAGTTAGAGCCAGGGCTTTATACAGCCCTACTCTGGTCAGGTAGCCCTGCTTGCTCTCCACCATATCCCATATCTAAACAAACCATAGAAATCATGCACAAAACTTTAGTACATTCTGGAAATCTTAATTTCTTTTTTATTAGTAAAACATGAAGGATAATTTGTATGTACTCTTCATAACAGCAGACTACAGTTATCAATTTTTGAGTGATTAGAATGCCAATCTATGTTCTCTTATATCTAACGCAATTTATCTTTAATTAATTGCAATGGAAAAAGGTTATTTATCAGTTTATTTACATATGAACCTGTTGACCTTGATACTAGACTAAAGTATCTGTGAAGTTGAATGATATTGCATATGGGAAGTCTTCCTCCCCTCCACATCAGTCTGTATATCTGAGACCCCCCCCCCCCCCCCCCCCCCCGAAAAAAAAAACACATTCATATATCCAGAATTTATATTTTTCCATCCAAAACATTAGGGTTTGGAAGAAAGTAGTGGATGGTTTTGGAAAAAGAAGTGGGTCCATTTCTTTGAAAAGAAAATGTTGAAAAAAAAATGAGCAGTGTATAAATTTTGGAATTTAACATTATAAACACAATGTCAGAGAGTAATGGATGTGATGAATATCAAACCATTTCTTTTTGTAGATTGACTTCTAAAGAATGTCAGTTATTCTTATATTCATGCCATTATTCTGTCAGTGTTTTATTTAATAACCGAATAACCGGCAACTGGCCAAATTGACCACCTCAGCTGACAAACAAGAGGCCCATGGGCCACAATGCTCACCTGAATCAAAATAGTCCTGCTGTTCTTCATCAGCAGATTTCTTCTTATTCATATGTAAAGCTTTGATCGCCTGTTCTAGGCATACCCTACCCCAAGATGCCATGTTTTGAATGAAATTGAATCTTAACTTTCTTTTGTGTGTCATGATTTGAACAAACTTGAATCTACACTACCTGAGGGTGCTTCCATATCAATATGTAATCAGGCTTTGTTGTTCTTGAGAAGAAGATTTTTAAAGATATTTCCTATAAATATTCTTTTGTACAACTTTGATCCCCCATTATATCCCCATCCTACTACTGGAGGATGCCTTGAACAAACTTGAATCTACAATACCTGTGGATGCTTCCATATCAATATAACTAATCATGGCTTTCCTGTTCTTGAAAAGATTTTTAGAGATTTTTCCTATACATACCTATGTAAAACTTTGATCCCCCATTGTGGTCCCACCTTACCCATGGGGGTCATGATTTAAACAAACTTGAATCTACACTTCCTGAGGATGATTGTGTATTGATATGACTACTTGTGGCTTTGTTGTTCTTGAGAAGAAGATTTTTTCTATATATTCCTATGCAAAACTTTGATCCCTCATTGTGGCCCCACCCTACCCCGGGGGTCATAATTTGAACAAACTTGAATCTACACTATCTAATGAAGGTTTCACATAAGTTGAAATTTTTCTGGCCCATGGTTTTTGAGAAGAAGATTTTTAAAAGATGACACCAAATTTTCACCAATTCTTAATTATCTCCCTCTGCAAGAGGATGTGGCCCTTCATTTGAACAAACTTGAACCCCCTTCACCCAAGGATGCTTTGTGGCAAGTTTGGTTGAAATTGGCCAAGTGGTTCTGAGAACTGAGAAGAAGTCAAAAATGTGAAAAGTTTACAGACAGATGGACGGACAGACAGATGGACTACAGACAAAATGTGATCAGAAGAGCTCACTTGAGCTTTCAGCTCAGGTGAGCTAAAAATGCTGCTTAGAAATTAAAAATTTTAAAAATAATTTTAAGGTCCACATATTTTGTAAACCTCAACCCCAGGTAGCCTGTTACAAACCCCAGGTAGCCTGTTACAATTGTCCTCAAACCCTTTACTTTGAATAAAGGGAAAATGCTGCTCTGTATCATTTTTACTTTTTGTTAAATTGGGGTAGTTCATGCAATTGTTATTCATAAACATGTACAGATATCATGAGTACAGCTTCTTCATTTAAAAAGTTGATTAAAATTAATGCCCTTAAATAGAAAACAATATATTACAAAATTTAAGATTAAGCACCGGACAAAAAGGACAGGGTTGTCCCTAAGAATTGAAATAGAAGGGGACATTTAAAAAGTAGAAGGGGAACTGGGGTTCCTCCCTTACTGGGGAGTTTAGGAGGAATACCGAAATAACCGGGGGATTACATCATTATAGGTGGGGAAATTCCCCGTCCCCCATGTCTTACAGACAACCCTGAAGGAACTTCATATCATGGTCATGACCCATGGCCTTAACTCCCCTCCCCTCCTTTTTATGTTATAATTTAAAAAAAAATGTTCTTAAGTGATTGTATTAGATTGGCTAAGATTGCACTTTCAATAAAGTGAATGTAGCATACTGTAAAAAAGAGAGCAAATAAATCTCCAATCTCATAATAGTACAACAATGTTAGTACAACATAATATACCAGCATATTTTTCCCTCAGTGGCAGGAAAGCCTTGGAGTGTTATCTCACCCTTTGTCGAAGACATAAAAACATTGTAGCCATCTTGGGATCCGCCCACTTCAAAGTGGGGTACAGTATGGTAAATCATAGAAAAAGACTGTGCATTCCAACTCACAATCAAAGTTTATAAAAAATTTATATTTACCTGTGATATTGTAGGGCGCGGCAAGCTAGACTTTAACAGCAGCTGTATAAAAAGATCTTTATCAACCTGTTCGTTATGGGGGCACAGAATTTCATAAACCTCTCTGTAGTACGCCGGGACTGACCCTTCAAATAAACCAGAAAACATGGCTGTGATATCTACAATCTCATTTATCTATGAATTTAAAAATTCCAAGGTCATGTCGCATGACTTAGTGAATTAACGCATCGTAAACAAATTAGCAGGCTTACCGAGAGTCAGATCCGCCGACATTTTGAACAGATCATGTGACCAAACTCTTGAAGCATAATATCGTGCAAATAGTATAGGTTGTTGTCTAGATCTTAGCATAAAATGTTCTTTCAGTGATTTCGATTATTTTTTGATAACTTTTCATTATAATATTTATAAAGACATGCACCAAAATTGCTCTAATGTAATACTTGATTCATTTGGATTATAGACTATAGGTATGGCTAATAAACGAAATTTATATCAACAGGGATTTATTTTACCAATTAAAAAAAAAACAAAACTTTAAAAGCATATTTATTTGCATATTTTTATGATATTTTATGAAATAATGTTATTTACAAGTATTTTTTTTACTGCAGTAATATCACAATATTGTTAAAAAATGAAATATCAATTTAAAGATATCCTACCCTAGAGAAATAGATAACATTATTTTATGTTTCTAGTTACCCAACATTAACAAATTTTGAATAAGGCTATTAAAAGATGGTCTATAGCTGAGATTTATATTTCCAGTTACTTAAATAATCCTCTGACTACCGAAACAATTTGAGCACCATCTTTCCGTCTATTAGCAGTACCATTGACTTCCATGACACTGTTTACAAATGTCAACAACGGGGCACATTGTTGTGATGCGGTTGATGCCGTTAAATTACAAGTTATTATAGAAGACTTGCAATTATCTTTTTTATTTTATTTTTAAAACTTGTGAAGTAATAGAAATAAAAGAGCATCATGCATTTTATATGGAGCTGATAATTTAAAATTTGCTTAATGTCAAGTTTGGACACGAGATCTGTGCACGTTTACTATGCCGAAAAAGCCCTTGGTAAGTAATGTGTTGTTAGTTATTTTACTGATAAGTAAAATTAATACATATAATGACATAGGTTAACAGTGTTTACTTAAATTCATAGACTGTTGCTTTGACAATAAAACAACCTTTAGAATCATTTACTTTGTCATGGGAAGTGCATTGATGCATGGAAAATGGATAGTTTTAATCAAGCAATTTAAAGTGGTCCAATTTCTATAATGAAACAATTCAGGTATTATATTGTTAAAGTTTAATATATATACATATATATATATATACATATATATATATATATATATATATATATATATATATATATATATATATATATATATATATATATATATATATTTTTTTTTTTTTTTTTTTTTTTTTTTTTTTTTTGCAGAAATACCATTCTGATGACTATGAGTCAGATCCAGACATTCACACTGTAACAACACTTGTAAGTTTATATTCCTATACTAATGAATGCATATACAGTAAAACACGCCTTAATACAATGAAATGTCAGGGATGGATGATTTGTTTCATTATAAACATAATTCCTTATACTCATTAAGTTCACAATATATTTTAAAGTCACAGGAAATGAAAATCACTTCGCTGTAAGTTTCAATTCGTTACATGTGTTCGCTATAAGTATATTTTACTGTATATGTTTGTAAATATTATAAGAATGGAAAGAATACATTGTAAAATTTTGATCCTACCTCAATTTATCTTTAAAATGTAGTGTATATCATTTAAACAGGCACAATGTATTCAAAGAAGTGAAATTTTATCAATTTACATTGTACCATGAAAATGTAAATGTCAGGGCCTGGGTTGTCCCTAAGACCTGGAGGCTGGGGAATTTCTTCACCTATAATGACATAATCCGCCAGTTATTCCGATATTCCCCCTCAACCCTCTGTTAGGGGAGGAACCCTAGACTTCCTTCTACCTTTTAAATACATGTCCCCTAGCTGCTATTTGATTTGAACATATTTTATTATGTGTAGAAACATAAATGGATTGGGCAGCAGGCATAGCCTATATAAGCCCTCTCCACAGGTACAAGGTTCATTTAAATTATACATAATACTACATGAAATAGTTACAGGTTCATATAACAAAATTGATTGGAAATTAAGCAGAAAAAAAAAGTGGGGGAAGAAAGTTGTAAATGGTTACGGGTTTTATGAGAAAAATGAGGTAAAAAATAATAAGTGGGAAATACAGCAAATTAAGATAGATTATATGAAATAAAATGCATGTGTATTTGAATAATAAAATTACAAAATTTCATATCATCTATGAAACCCCTCAGTTTGTAAAATATATTCATGAACACAATCAAATAATTTAACATTTTTAGCATAAGGAATATTACTGTATAACAAAAGATTTAGAGACAGAGGATGCTGCAGGTCTGTACTGGATATACAATTCAAAAGAGTATTTCTTTGCTCGACATAACATGGACACTCAAAGAAAAAATGATACACATTTTCAGTATGAAAACCAGTTTTCACATTTGGAACTTTCACTTATAAAATCTGTCTGTAAATCAGCATGCAGACTACTAGCATTATTTCTTAATTGAAGGTGAACAATATTTTGACTACATTTACCATGATTAAAAAAGCTCACTGGGAGTTCTGTAATAAGCCTTTTTTAATAGCATTTAGTGAAAGACGCTATAGTTGGTAGATTTCTAATATGATATGGTAAATTATTTCATAATTTAATAATTGTAGATGGGAAATAACTATTCATATATGATGTGGCTCTAGCTTGAGGGATAAGAAAAGTAAGACCATCATTATTTCTTAATGAATATGGGGTATGGGGTGGAATACAAGGTCTTAGGAGATCTTGGAGATACATGTATTGTTGTGCTATCCCATACACTATCTTGTAAAATAATATTAATTTATGCACTTTCCTTCTGACAGATAATGTATCCCACCCCAGTTCATCATATAAAAGTGTTCTTAATGAATTCACTCTCATTCCTTTAATAATTCTTGCAGCAGTGATTTGAACTTCTTCTAATAAAGATGATTCCCTTTCATTACAATTATCCCAAACAACATCACCATATTCTAAGACTGGTCTAATAAATGACATATATATTTTTTTAACGCATCTCAAGAAAGAGAATGTTTTAACATTCGTAAAACATTTGAACGTTTACATGCTTTTTCATATATGATTTGTATGTGAGATTTCCAATTGGCATCACACTGAAAGTTTAATCCTAAATGTGTGTGATTGTTTGAAGGTTCAATCATTAGACCAAATTTAACATTGGGATGATAAATATTTTTTCTGAAAAATTTATGTTCACTGTTTTCTTTGGGTTAAAGTCAACTATCCATTGTTTTGACCACTGATCCAACTTCTCTAAGTCATTTGTCAATGAGTTTGCAGCACTGACTATATCATTATCAACAATAATGCAGAGTGATGTATCATCAGCAAATAATGGAACATTTTTTGTTAAGTTTAAAGAAATATCATTAGTATATAATAGGAACAAGAGAGGTCTGCATGAGAACAGATCCTTGAGGGACACCTGAACTAGTTGATCCAATAGCTGATGCATAACCATCAAGGACCACCCTTTGTTTTCTATTTGCTAAGTAATTTTTAACCCAGTTTACAATTTGATCCAATATTCCCCTGCTATTTCAATTCCTAGGGACAACTCTGAATCATGCATTATTCAATTTATCAGCACAGCAATCCGTGTAATGTCATGATGTATGTCCAAAAATTACATATCAATGCTTAATCAATTAACCCAAAAACAAAATTTATCACTTATTTTTCTTCCCATTGTATTTTTAAAGGTTTCAAGAAACTCAGCCCCTATAAAGACCAAAAGGAAGGAAGGTAGCTGGAAATGTTCATACCATGCATGTCATCATCATCATTATATTTCTCAAATTAAAACCAAGAAAAATATTTTTGTATGCTTATATTCACCAGATATTAGAAATAATATTAGAAATTTGATTTTCAAGGTAACAATAAAAAGAAGAAAGAGAAAAACAAGAAAAATAGTAAAGGTATGGTATTATTTGGGGGTATGACCACAATATTCACATGCATTTTTGGAACAAAATTTCCAACAATTTACATATATATATATATATATATATATATATATATATATATATATATATATATATATATATATATATATATATATATATATATATATATATATAGAATATGTATATTTTAAAACAAAATCAAACAACATGTATGATATGAATTACCTATCAGTATTTTTTATTAGTTACACCACGCAACAGAGCTCATAGTGCTCCTCCTACTAGGAGTGGAAGGACAGGTCATGACCTTTGGATGACAGCTGTCAAACACAGGGAAACACGTAAGATGGGAATATTCAGCAAGTCTGACATTTCAAATTTTGATAATCCACCATAGAATATGATGAAAAGATGCAGCTAAAGGAAATGTATAAAATATTTTCCTATTTTTGTGTATTATAGCAGCTTTAACTTATCGACACCCTGAGAGTCCACGACACAAAACCACTACAGAATATTGGGTTGATACACTAAGAAGAACAGGGACAGGTAAAACTATTAATCAGACTTCAGTGCAAAATAGAAATTAATAGGATTTTTCCTGGTTTGGAGTTGATGAGAAAAGACAGCTTATCATATTGTTGATGAAAAAAAAAGATTAGTGAATAAAAAAAAAAAACCTGTTGGAATGAAACTTTTAGTAATTACTTTACACGATCATTTATGGATTTATTTTTACAATTTTCTTTTTGTGAAATAGAAATTCATAAATCATAGTTTGTAGACTGAGAGTTCAAGACATTACTTCATATATCTAAATATTTGTTATGCTAAGATTTGATTTGATTGGATGCAGGAATCACCACACAGAGCACAGGCAGTGTGGGAACTACAAACACCTTCACAGGATTAAAGCGACCCAATGAAACAGCCATGGCTTATCTGAGTACGTCTTCATATCTTAGACAGATGGCAGGAACAGAAAAATCTAAGAAACATGGGGATCCTACAGGTAAGAACAGCTGTGGCTAGAACAACAACTAGTCAATGTGATCTAGGCTAGCAATATATTTTTTCCAATGCAAGAAACAAGAATGCATATGATCCAATATACAAACAACTGATTGAATGACAACACGCAGCATTTCAGGCAATGAATCAAATGTAGTTTTAAAATTTGTACTTTTCACTTGGAGAATTATGTATTTTATACATGAATGTTGTATATTTTCAGCAAAACCTCCAACAGGAACCCCAGCTTATCGGTCTCAGGAGGAATATTACGAACAGGTGCTAGAACTCAAAAAGGTAAAAAACACACTTTTATAGTTTCCTGATTGACTTGTAAGTAAAATTGTTTCAATTGTTTTGTATTAAAAATTGGAAACCAAGGTTTTAAAAAAAAATGAACCTATTTTTTTTTGTTCCAGCAAATCAAATCACTAAATCAGGAGATTTCAATGCTCAAAGCCAAAGTTCGGCGAACAGAAGAGGATAACATTAAGAAGGTTTGTATTTTGAATTTTATATGGAGATTTATTGTATGTCTGGATTTTAGTCATTCTTGCAATTTGTGTTAAATTATTCCACAGGAGAAAGAAATAGAGGGTTTCTTAGATCCAACAAAAAATGAAGAGATGCGGCGAACCATAGGGGAAAAGAGACCAGAGTCAGGCGCTGTGATTCAAAGTTTAAAACAAAAGATTCTGAAACTAGAAAACCAAATTAGGGATAAAGAAGCAAATTATGCGTAGGTCCTTTTAAAGAATTCAATAATCTAATTATAAACAATTTTACAATAAAATATGAAACAGAGGTGTCTCAGGACATCATTTTGTGTACATTGTCTCAAAGATACATGTTTTATAATTATTGGTTGGTTAAAACCCTAGTAACAGTATTTTACATAGAATAATTTTTGTGTAAAACTTCTCATTTTTCCCTTAGAAAATTGCATGCAGAGTTAAAAACCACAAAAGTAGAGGAAATGAAAGTACAGTTAGAAATGTGTTACCAAGAGATTGTCCGATTACAGAATATGAAAGACACAGGGATGATGGGCACATCTCGGTAAGGGATTGGTAAAACTCGACATGCATTGGATAATACAATAATGAGAAGAATTTACTATTAGTATAAGTACATGTATATGAGAATGTACAAATGAGATTCACTATTATGAGATATTGAAATTCTCATATACATGATTTTGCAACTTTGCAAAGATTTTATTGACACTCCACTGCCCAAATTAATACCTGTATCCAGATAAGAATGGTGCAGACATATACATGTCCATGTCAGCCTCAAAGAGTTGAAAGCCATTTATTCCTTTTTCAATACATGTAATTTATAATGCACTGTTTGTAAGTGAAAGCTTGTTGATGTTTTATACTTTGCTTTTTTTGTTGTGCAGGACCCCAACAAAAGAGAACAGTGCCAAAATTCGAGCACTGAATGAAACCGTTCTTAGAATTAATAAACAGAATGAAGAGTTACAGATGGAAAATAAAGCACTCAGGGAGGACCTGAATAGAGAAATCGAGGGCAAAGACAGAAAAGGAATGGGTAAGTTATTCATTGTTTATTGGAGCCCCACATTAAAATGTGTTTGCCCTTTTTTGATCCGATTATTGACTTGACCATTGTGATGCAATAAATCGTACATTTTGAGACCTCTTGCTTTAGTTCAAGGTCAAGAAGATAAATATCATTAACATAAGCACCATGAAGGATCCCTGGACCTATGGCATTGTCGATTTTTTAGTTATTTACACTGAGAATAGTTTATAAATCATGGACATGTGTGCACTATTTACTATAAGGAAACACTTGTTTCACAGGTGACTATGAAGACATGAACAAGAAGCAGCTGTTGTCTGTCATCTATAATCTAGAAAAGGTATTTTAAAAGGAAATCTGTTAAGAAAGAATGACATTAATGATTTAAGTCATTATTTCACAGTTCACAGTTTTATTTTATGGATACACTGCTGGTTAACAAATGTTAAATATTTAGCATGTGTAAAGAATGTTTTTGATAATAATAACTTTTGCTTGAATGCTTGAATTTTGGTGTGAAATAAAAAAGGAATTTGCTTCCTGTAGAAAATAGAGAAGAGTAAAAGATCAGGAGACACCGATTCACTGTTGTCTTATGATGGTCGAACAGACAAGAAGCGCAGACCTAGTTCAGGTACATACGTTATCTCCCTTTCTTGTTTGACAATAGATCAGAAGGAGTGCAAACTTCTGTTAACATATCACAAAGACATCTCATTCTGTAGCTTTTTGTCAGTTTTTAATAAGTTGGAACTATGTTGTAATCTATCAAGTGTGACTGAGGATATTTGAAGAGTAACATGAAATAGAACTGTATTTAAATACTGCAAACAATTTTATATTTTCTTTAATTGATAAATGGTGCAGTAATTGATCACTATTGTTTTAAAATCAGAATATTGTATTCTGTTGATTTGCACAGCTGTGGCTGGTAAAATAGAGCTTGAGGGGTCTGTACAGGACAGACTAGATCAGTTAGACAAACGGGAAACAGAGTTACTAGAGGAACTGGAGAAATATAAAAAACAAGTTAGGAGATTGAAAGATGAAAAAACAGAAAACAGACATAAAATGGAAGAGTATGAGTAAGTGTAGGAGACATTTTTATTGCATTTTTTACTGAATTCACAAATAAGATAAATGTGTCATTTATTTACTTGGAAACAGTATTATTGATGGTGGTGTCTTTAGGACAGATATTGTTTTCAGTCATTTCATTCAATGGGATTTTTCTTCTGTAGGAAACTGATCAAGGACCTCCAGGCTGAGATTGATTACCTGAGTGACAAGCAAGGGAAGGCCACACGCCGACGAGAAGTCATGGCCGGGGCCATCACTCCCAGGCAGCAATCCCCCAGGTATTACCAGTTTTTAATGACTCTTTTTAAGATGTAAAGTTTTATTCCTCAATTCTTGATTTTTAAAATGTTAAATTACACACTGATCATGCTTAATTGTATTGTTGATAGACATTAAAAATGAGTATAAATAATGGACTAGTAGAAGCATTTAAAAACATTTTATTATTGAAAAAATATAGATGTTATATGTATATAAAGATTACATTTTTGTAGGTGTACATAGCAGTAAGCATCAAAATCTTACATCTGTTTTGTTTATTCTTTTCCATATAACATGTAAAAGTATGAAATATCAATGCTTGTTAAAATTCCACTCAATAATAAGGCAAATTTAGAGCCTTGTAAAAATCCTTAAAATTTGGTAAATTCAAAACGTAAATATTTAATAGTACATATTATGCCCAGAAAAAAAGGTCTATATAAACTAGAGGTTTTTCTTTATTCTCTATATGTGCAGTGTGAGGGTTTCACTTTTACATACCGTATAAATGTGTTACAGAAACAGTCGGCCTCCCAGCGGAAGGAAATATTCAGTAGATAGCACGTCATCAGAGGGACGACGAAGGAGACGAGTAAGTACAAGCCTTGTTACTGAGAATTAGACATACATGTAAAGGCAGAGACATTATGCAACCTGCAAAACAATATAGATGACACTGCTCCTACATTATGTGGCACCCACTGAAAAAAAAAAATATTTACCGTATTTGGCTGAATATAATACGCACTTTTTTCCCAAAATAATTTTCTGTGAGAAAGGGGTGTGTATTTTACACCACAATGGGATTTTGATAGGTTTTTCTTTCATGTGAAACATGGCTATCATACGCACATACCGTAGTATTACCTAGAGACTTATGCAATTTCTTGCTGTTTATCGCCGTATTTAAAACTTCGGAAAGTTATTGTTGGAATGTAGGCTTGTAAAAAATGTTATATTTATAACCTTTTGATAGTTAAATTAAATTTAAAAGCAAGTTAAAATTAATTTGAGCTGCATGTTCATCGTCTCCGTGTAGGGCGCCATTAACGATGTTATTTATAGATGTTCACACATTCCTTCGCCACGTGCTTCCATAATCATAATACACGTGTACCTAATCAGTCAGACACTAGGTCAAAAAAGTAATAAGTCATTTTTTAATGAAATACATTAAAATAAAATTTATTTTAGGTTTTAAATAACTCGGTGAAAATTCATTTCAACATAAACACCCCTCTATACATCCCAATGAATGGAAGCCAATGTTGTGAACACGTGCGCTTGTCACTTGATAATTACCCCTCAACACCCCTCCAGACAATTAAATTGTTTACCGACTCAAAAGCATTGTTTTTACAATTGGAGCACTGATTATTTACTGCCCTTATTAATGGCTTTGATTATTTTCTTTGTTAAAAATCGGGGGTCGGTTTATGATCTTTCGTATGTATTAGCGTGTATTGATTACGACACATTAAACAGTTAAACGCTTGTTAAATGTAATTTTACTTTATCTTATAGCGGCCTCGTGTTAAAATGATTGAGAGTTAAAAAAGGAAATATGAAGTATATTGAAACTTAAGTGTTATCATTTACTCATGCTCTGTAGAAAATAAGATATCCACGAAGATTACCTCGATGTATGAAGACATATATCCCACCTTTGTACATCATTTTTCACAGCTTTGGAGGTGTGTTGATAACTACACTTTACACGCTTGTTAAATTTTGATTTTATTTTATAACAACAGCTATTTATTTAATTAATTAATTTCAAGTTCAAAAGAAGAAAATCGTAGTCTATGAATACTTTGATTTTGCAATGTCGCTTGCCCTGTTAAATTTACATAATTTTCAACATGATTACCTTAAACTAAAAATAGATATGACAACTGTTAAACTTGCAACAATATCTCGTGCTTTGTTGAAGTAAAATAATTTCAACAAAGAATAGTTAGAATATGGCGACGTATAATTTCAATATCACCGTATGCTAAAAAAAATTAATAATAAACTCTGTTAATACTTTTAATGCAACATTATCTCGTGCTTTGTTAAAATAAATAATTTCCTCCAGATTGCCGCGATATGGAAAGTCAAGATTAAGAAATAAAAACGCATTTGAATAAAATATCGTGCTGTGTCAATTTTCGGCACTTTATCTCCGCGCCGATTTTCATAGCAAATTACCGCGATTTTCAAAAGTTCAGAACACCGCTTGATAAAATTTTCTGCTGCGTATAATACAACCGAACTGCGTTTTTTCCCCCAGTTTCAGGCTCAAAAAGGGGGTGCGTATTTTACACCAATGCGTATTATATTCGGCCAAATACTATACCATTCAAATCAGGTAGCCCATAAAGAATTTTTTCTTTATAAATGTTACAGTAATTAAGACTCGAAACTTTTTTTTTATATGCAGTGTAGAGGATGTTAAATTTTTCTTCATTTTATAGGAGCAGGAAGAAGAGGAGAAATTGGAAAACTTTATGAAGAATCGAGCAGCCAAAAAACTACAGAAAGAATGGAAAACACACAGGAAAGAAAAGAGGGAGCAAGAGGTAAACATCTACACTTATAGTTGTCACCAGTATCCTATCATATCTATGTGGCTATATATTCATGTATATAACAGTGTCTCTAAAGTATTATTCCATGGGTCTCCTTTTCAAATAGCAATTGGTTCCTGTGTCTCACTTTCCATGTGTAGATTAGAAAATTAGAATAGCAATATGTATTCATTTGTCAGTATAGTAAGACTTATTTTGTACAAACTTGAAAATAGCGAATTTGAAAATATAGCAAATATTTTTTTGGTCCCCCATTCTTAAAAGTCCTTGTAAAATTTTATTATTATAATGAACTCTGATATAGTAAATATGGCTATAGATTCTGCAAGTTGATTTTTTTTTTGCCCCATAAAGGTACATAAAAATATTAGGAAATGTACATTTTTATAGTGGTTTTTCTAAGATCCCAATTATTAGAGATATCAAATTGATATTTTTTGGAAGTAATTATTAGTGAAATTTTACTAAACACATATCATTTGTATTGTATGGTATTTTACATACCTTACACTGTGATGATTATACTTTGGTTTCCCTAAATTAACCTCATGCAATTTAAACTATTTTGCATTTAGAACTTCAATTAGCATATCCAGTAGTCTAAAGAAGGAAAACATTCCATATACATATATAGGTCTACGAATTCATTTTAAAGATACAACAAATTTTGGATGTACCAAATTAAATACACAAGTCCCCAGGACTTTGCTATAACTGAGTTTTACTGTATATGTATAAAAAATGTTATTATAAAAAACAAAACATCCATCTGCTAAGGACATGCATACATGTAAAATTGCACATGGTTATATATTTCTTTGGTATAGGTGTTATCTTTCAGCTTGAGCTACTTTTACATTGTTTTATTCTAACATATTTTTTTTACAGTTAATTTGCTTGCATGGCATCTTAAAATTTCAGTCCTTTATTATTTTACATTTATTATATATATGTCATTAATTGACCTTGAAAATGCCAATTCGTAATAATTTTACTTATAATAATTAATAAATCTCATCAGGAGTTAAATGAATTAGCCAATAAGCACCGAGAAAAGGTAGCTGCTCGTAGAATTCAGCGAGAATGGCGGACACATCATAGAGAGATGGAGATAAAAAATGTAGGTGATGTTTTGCTTGGTGTGGATACCCCCCTCCTGCCTGTATATTAATATCACTTTACAACTATATGTATCACTTCAGCCCCTTACTAACATTCACTTCAAGGTTTTTATTTTCATATTTAGTCAACGAATTGTTTGCAGAAATGAATTTGAATTTATTTAAATGCATTCACAGAAAGTAGATAACTATTTATGACAGCACTTACCGGTAATATGAAAGCAATCAAGCAAATTCTTATTTTATGTACATGCAATGTAATTGAAGATTATGTGATTGATAGCTTGTGTGTAGATTTTTAAAACAAAATGTGTAGGTGGACATTGTATATTTTATTTCAGTCATTCAGTAGTTTATTGTGATATTTTCATTAGCAAAAAGAGCTAGAAAGTAAGGTAGAACAAATGAAAAGAAAACATGCAGCCAGAATTATTCAGAAACAGTGGAAAAATCACAGAAATAATGCAGAGAAAAAGAAAGAGGTGGATCAAGATTTCAATGTAGGTCTGGGGTGTAAATTGATGCTGCTTGGATAATGAATGCTTTTGGCAATTTACACCTTGAAAATTAGCTTTATGATATCTGAAGTTTGTTGCTTTGTATAAAATTGCTGATCTTGTAAGTAAACCATTTCATACTAAATTTACTGGATTGAGTAGATTTTTGTCTGTTTGTATGTCCTAATGTTTGCGATCATCCATACCTTTTAGAGCTGCCTGTTGGTGATGAGCATTTGATATGCAAAACTGATATTAAGGGTCAAGGTCATATTCAAGTTAACTTTGATTTAAAGTGCCCCTGCAGAGGGCATTAGCTAAACAAATGTCTCCAATGACTTACAGTTTTACTATTCTAAAGCTGCTAGATAGATTTTTTATGTGATTAATTGAGCTTTGCTTTGGCCTTTTGTGTTTTTGTTTTAAGCCAGTTTTTATTTAACCATATCTCTTTATTTTTTCATATCTTTTATGAATATTGATGATAGGTTGCTATGCATATATTTCAATTCACTGATATACTGTATGTGTACTCCTTGAAGCAATTGTTAGTTCATGAGCCGAATAACTGTGATTTTTTTAAAAATATAAATCATGATTTAAAAATAAAGATGTAGCTAAATTTATCATGCTTACAGTAGTACTAGTCCACACCAACATTTGCACTAGATTTTCTGTTTCTTGATGGTTTAATGTAAAGAATATTTTAACTTTTTTAAAGGTAAAAGTGGAAAATTTCCGACGGAATCGTGCAGCTAAGACCATCCAGAATAGATGGACAAATCACAAATATAGAAAACATGAAGAGGAACTGGATGAGGTATGTGTGAATATATGGGAAGTGATTACTAGAAAATATAGCCATTGTTAATCTCATTTGTGAAGAAAGTAGATGTTTTCATAATTATGAACATAAATTGGAACTCATGCAGAGCTGATAACCCTTAAGATTTTGGAGTAAGGCTTATGGTTTGAGCATCTAAAATACTCCTTATGATTTCTCTATTTATTAGCTCACCTGAGCTGAAAGCTCAAGTGAGCTTTTCTGATCACATTTTGTCTGTAGTCCGTCTGTCTGTCTGTCTGTCTGTCCGTCTGTCCGTCCGTCTGTAAACTTTTCACATTTTCGACTTCTTCTCCAGAACCACTGGGCCAATTTCAACCAAACTTGCCACAAAGCATCCTTGGGTGAAGGGGGTTCAAGTTTGTTCAAATGAAGGGCCACGCCCTCTTCCAAGGGGAGATAATTAAGAATTGGTGAAAATTTGGTGTCATCTTTTAAAAATCTTCTTCTCAAGAACCATTGAGCCAGAAAAGTTTATACTTATGTGAAACCTTCATTACATAGTGTAGATTCAAGTTTGTTCAAATCATGACCCCCGGGGGTAGGGTGGGGCTACAATGGGGGATCAAAGTTTTACATAGGAATATATAGGGAAAATCTTTAAAAATCTTCTTCTCAAGAACAACAGAGCCACAATTAGTCATATTGATATGGAATCATCCTCAGGTAGTGTAGATTCAAGTTTGTTCAGATCATGACCCCCAGGGGTAGGTTGGGGCCACAATGGGGGATCAAAGTTTTACATAGGAATATATAGGGAAAATCTTTAAAAATCTTCTTCTCAAGAACAACAAAGCCACAATTAGTCATATTGATATGGAATCATCCTCAGGTAGTGTAGATTCAAATTTGTTCAAATCATGACCCCCGGGGGTAGGGTGGGGCTACAATGGGGGATCAAAGTTTTACATAGGAATATATAGAGAAAATCTTTAAAAATCTTCTTCTCAAGAACAACAGAGCCACAATTAGTCATATTGATATGGAATCATCCTCAGGTAGTGTAGATTCAAATTTGTTCAAATCATGACCCCCGGGGGTAGGGTGGGGCTACAATGGGGGATCAAAGTTTTACATAGGAATATATAGAGAAAATCTTTAAAAATCTTCTTCTCAAGAACAACAAAGCCACAATTAGTCATATTGATATGGAATCATCCTCAGGTAGTGTAGATTCAAGTTTGTTCAGATCATGACCCCCAGGGGTAGGTTGGGGCCACAATGGGGGATCAAAGTTTTACATAGGAATATATAGGGAAAATCTTTAAAAATCTTCTTCTCAAGAACAACAAAGCCACAATTAGTCATATTGATATGGAATCATCCTCAGGTAGTGTAGATTCAAATTTGTTCAAATCATGACCCCCGGGGGTAGGGTGGGGCTACAATGGGGGATCAAAGTTTTACATAGGAATATATAGAGAAAATCTTTAAAAATCTTCTTCTCAAGAACAACAAAGCCACAATTAGTCATATTGATATGGAATCATCCTCAGGTAGTGTAGATTCAAGTTTGTTCAGATCATGACCCCCAGGGGTAGGTTGGGGCCACAATGGGGGATCAAAGTTTTACATAGGAATATATAGAGAAAATCTTTAAAAATCTTCTTCTCAAGAACAACAAAGCCACAATTAGTCATATTGATATGGAATCATCCTCAGGTAGTGTAGATTCAAATTTGTTCAAATCATGACCCCTCGGGGTAGGGTGGGGCTACAATGGGGGATCAAAGTTTTACATAGGAATATATAGGAAAATTCTTTAAAAATCTTCTTCTCAAGAACAACAAAGCCACAATTAGTCATATTGATATGGAATCATCCTCAGGTAGTGTAGATTCAAATTTGTTCAAATCATGACCCCTGGGGGTAGGGTGGGGCCACAATGAGGGATCAGAGTTTTATATAGGAATATATAGAAAAAAAATCTTCTTCTCAAGAACCACAGAGTCACAATTAGTCATATTGATATGGAATCATTCTCAGGTTGTGTAGATTCAAGTTTGTTCAAATCATGACCCCTGGGGGTAGGGTGGGGCTACAATGGGGGGATCAAATTTTTACATAGGAATATATAGGGAAATTCTTTAAAAATCTTCTTCTCAAGAACAACAAAGCCACAATTAGTCATATTGAAATGGAATCATCCCCAAATATTGTAGATTCAAGCTTGTTCAAGGCATCCTCCAGCAGTAGGGTGGGGCCATAATGGGGGATCAAAGTTTAACAAAAGATCATATACAGGAAATATCTTTAAAAATCTTCTTCATTCTCAAGAATAACAAAGCCATGATCAGTCATATTGATATGGAAGCATCCTCAGGTAGTGTACATTCAAGTTTGTTCAAATCATGCAATCATGAACCCCCCCCCCCCCCCCAAGCAGGGTAGGGTGTTAGACATATCTAAAATTCTGTTTTAAAGAATAGCAAAATCATGATTAGTTATATGAAGATAGAAGCATCCTCAGAAGGTTTATATTCAATTTCATTCAGAACATGGCACCTTGGGGTAGGGTATGCCTAGAACAGGCGATTAAAGCTTTATATATGAATATATAGGAGAAATATAGGAGAAGAAATATGCTGATGAAGAACAGCAGGGCCATATTGATTCAGGTGAGCGTTGTGGCCCATGGGCCTCTTGTTACTTCTTCCAATTTCCATTTAGTTGATATACATGAATTTTCATTGATGTCCACCTTCATTTTTTCAATATTATAATAAGAAAGTCATACTAGTCCTTACAGCACTTGCTTGTATTGTCATTGTTGATTTCTCTGCTAACTTGTGATGTAAATCAACTAAAGTAAACAATGTGGGAAAAAATATTTTGGGGCCTAGGTGACCCCCCTGGCCCCCATCCTTACAATTTTTCCTTCCATGATGTTGACAGCTTTGATCATGGTAAATGTTTACATATATCCTATTTTATAATTCTATAACTCTCTCTTGTATGATGGGGAGTATTCACCATAGAATCTTTGTGTTTACCGAGGCACATGTAGTAGTTTTGTTATTTTTAGGCAGCAGATTTGATTGGGTCAGCACTAAGAGGACACAGCACACGTAAATCTCAGATGAAGAGGTTCATGAGGGATTACGATGATTATGATGATGAGAGTGAAGACTATAACGATGCTGTTGACCTGATACAGTCCAGTGTCAAAGGTCATTACAACAGGAAAACAAAGCTTAAAAAGTACAGGTAATGACTTGAAACATTTGGTATTTCAAATACATGAATACTATTACTTTGAAACTTTGTGTTTGTGGTAATTAATTACTATCTTGCAGAGAAAATGTAAAATTTGTAAATGTAAAAATTGATTTTACTTAGATTGACAATTCTTATGATGTAAATATGTCTATGACAAAAATGTGTTCCAAATTCATAGTTAGGCTGACTGATATTATTTCTATATTTAACATCACCTGAAAACTTCAAAACCTAGAAGGGAGGGGGAAAAAAATTAAACAAAAATTTAAAACAAATATAAGTATTCACTCATTTACATGAATCAAGATACTGTAAATATTTGTGCAACAGGTAGGCTTATTATTTAAGGATCATTATAGGAAATCTATTATTTTAAATGATAGACTCATTCCAAATATACCTCATACATAGATGTTGTCTTTTCCTATGGAATGCAATTTTTAGTTGTTTAAAGTAAAAGAAAACCAGGATAGAAACACTAAAATATACTGATTTATTATTTTTTTTTCAAATGTACTTTTCTCCAAACCTACACGTATGGGTGACGTTAAACATAGAATTAACTTTGGACAGCCTTAGTAAAAAAAAATCTGAAAATATAGCTTCATTAAGTTGTACATGTGTCGACAATTCCTCAATTGAAAATATGAGAGAAATTAAGTCCTGTCAAAACAGATTTAAAGATACTAATCATTATAATTATTATTTCGATCTTTTCTTTTTAGGGATGATGATGACAGTGCATCAGTGAGGAACATGATGTCCAGTGGTAGGAGATCTAGACCCTCTTCAGGTATACTACACTTAGGTGTTTGTGTAGAATAATAGAGATCAACTTATTGTAGACCCTCCTGAGTTAATATACATTAAGGTGTTGGAGTAGGATAGTGATAAGCTCATTCTAGAACCTCTTCAGGTATACGACATTCAGGTGTTTGAAAGGATAGTGATTATAGTGCATTAATTGGCTCCATTATAACCCAGATTCAGTCTTTAAAAATGAGAAGGGTCATATGTGACAAAGAACAGTGTTCACACACACACACACTTACAAGACGAGTGTTCTCACTGGCTTCCTCCCACCTTAGTGAACCCCTTAATACATGTATGCCGAAATCTGTCCATTGTGAAGGATTACATGAAGTAGTTGTCTCATATTTTATCTAAAATCTGGGATATTTTTTAATTTTATCAGGCACTTTGTTCTTTAATTTGCAATGTGAAAAAAAAATTTGGATATAGTGCACATATAAATTTGACCTTTCTAATTTATTTTTCAGCAATGTCTAGTCACTCCAGAACGAGCCATGGGTCCAGGGTAAGTTATTATATTGAGGACCTTATGGATTTGTATGAATGATTGACCATGATAAAATACAGAAAATTACTTTCAGTATTAGAATTCTTTTCATCTATAAACATTCATTTGTAAAGTCACAGAAGTACTATGTACAGAATTTTACAAATGTGTATTTTTTTTTATATTGTTAATCAAAATTTTTTTTATTTTGTGAACTATATGTACATGTACTTGTATACACATGTATAATTAACACAGAATTGTATCTTTTTTTATTGAATTAAATGTGGAAACTTAAATTTGCAACAGACTTAAATATTTATACCAGGGTATTTCAAATAAGATTCAAAACTTTCATCAGTCTTGCTTTTGGAATTTCCATATGATCCTTTTTTGGTTATTTTCATCAATTTGTTTTAAGCACAGAGAATATTAATTCATTTTTCTTTCAGAGAACTTCTAGAGTCCTTGAACGACAAAACAGCAGACATAGCCAGAGAGCCAATGAATCTTACGATGATGATGATGACATTCAGTTCTGATGACTGTGTGGAGCATGTGGATTTTCCACATAGACGAACTATGTGGATTGATGTCCCTTTAGTAATTCTTGTCTCAGTGCATATAAATTGGTTGTTTAATGATAGTGAGAAATATTTTAAATGGCTCAAATTTATGGAAGTCCCACAATCTGTGATAAATATAAACTCATATCATGTTATCTAATTCTATAGTTGCAATATTGATCAATAATGTTCAAATTATTGAATGGATTTATATACATGTATATATATTTCTTATGTGTATATTTGCATTTAACTATTGTGTTTTATGGATACAGCATAGATAATTAGCTTATTCGGTAGTATTTTTCGAAGCTTTGTTGAAAAGATCTTTTTAAATGGATATTGTGATAGTGCTAAATGTTTGTGTTTTAACAGAATTTATGTATTTTCCATGTTTATACAGAGATATTTACTCTAAAGAAATTTCTATTTATAGACTAGAACTGTTTTCCAGGGTTGAAGGGAATTCCTTGGTAGTAATTTGTTTAGATTAACAACATATATCAGGGGGTTTTAAATTAATGAATATGTTGACCAATCTTGCATGTCTTTTTTTCTGGTACACTGTAATTAAAAATATTGTGTCCTTATAACATGAAAATAGTAATGTGCTTTCCTTTTGTTTTTGCAGGAATATATATATAATTATGTATGTATTAGTATTACATTTGATTAATTCTGCTGATCCAAGGGTCATTTTGATTAAGTTTCTTGAAAAAAAAATGGTTTATTTATAGAACAGGAAGATATTGGTATGAAAGCTCATATTTAATTTTCAAGTATTACTGACCAAGATGCAATATCAATATTGAACAACTCTTTTTAGTCTGTGTTATCAGTATGAAAGTATTTACTTTTCAAGTATTACTGACTGGGATGCAATTTCAACATGAAATACATGTATGTCTATCTGTTTTTACAGTGTCAATCTTTGATGCATTTTCTCTTGTTGCAGTCTAATCTGAAATGTTTTTGGCCATATTTGTAAATAATGAAGTAAAGATACATGCATGTAACTACAAATTTCTGTACAATCTTGTTGTTTCATCATTTGCAGCTTTTGATGTAGAAGGCTCTGGCCTGGAGTCCTTTATTTCAGAGGTCAATCAATATACAAGTTTACCTTGTACATGTATACAGCTTAAATTATTTAATGCTAGGAAATTTATTATTCATACTTTATATCATAACTTTGTTTTAAAGGTTTATTCAAGAATTTCAGGCTTTACCTGGTTGCCTATAAGTTTAAGGTACATGTATTTAGACTTCCTGCTTGAAAAATTGTAGCATTGCTACTAGACTACCTTCATGTATGCATCATTCCATGTTTACATTTGTTGATGCTTCCATTGTGTTTTGTGTTGTTTTACACATGTACATTGACTGTTGCTTCTGGAGGGAATTATTGAAATTTTTGTGACCTTAGTAACATGTTTTATGTTAAGATCTGTCTAGTAATACATTGTATTTGTTAAATGTATTTTGATAATTTACAAATTGTACAGAAGTATTTGTATGTATAGTGTAATTAATTTATGTTCTTGGTCTTTTTTTCATAACCATATTTAACTGTTAGAAAATAAAATTTTCACAAGTATTTTTCTGTGTTCCTTTATAAGAAAAATACTCTAAACTGGTAGGTACTGTATACTGTAAATGTATTACATTTGGCTATGTATTCTTTTTCAATTTCTGCCAAATATTGAACATGCGAAATATAATACATTTACGGTATTGCATTGAATTATTTACACTTACTGTAATGAAATATGTACCCATAGCAAGTTACAAGAACAAGCCTGGTTATCAGAATTAATACTTAAGGTACACATACAGCATTTCTGAATCATAAAATGTTCTGAATATAAAACATGATATCGTGTAGTCACATTAAAACCCAGTGCACAACACAGGTTATTCAAGATATCTTTGTCTCCCCTTAGACTGTGGATTGAAGATTTGTATTACCTGAAATCTTGTTTCCATTCATTTATGCTGGTTATGAATTAATAAATTCGTATTTTGACAGGCCATTATTACTTCTGTTTGTTACTGTCTACAGAAATATATATCGGGTAGATCTATCTCATAGATGGCGAGGGGGGTCATGATGTTTGTATGAAATAAAATCTACAGCCAGCAAAAGTCTAGGCTATTCTTTGAACAGTGGGAGGCTCCTCCAACCCCCTACTGCTATGGGCCTGCAAGAAGTGATGTTCAAAATGATTGAATCCAACATATTTCAATTCTGTTAATCTCAACTAGCCTATTGAGTATTGAATTTCACATAGTCAAACTCTTCAAGATTATCAATCTCACCTTCTACCAGCACATTTCAAGTAATCTTAAACCTTTGAGCACATTTTACTTTTAATCATTTCCTTTTTTTCTCTCAATGGTACCATCACTGTGATGTAGACATGATCAACAAATCTGAAGTCATTTCTTAAAAGGTCCACCATTCTTCTTTCAAAAAGAAAACATTATGGAAAGTGTTTTCCACAATAAATAATTTATAATATTGAAATGTAAATGAAAAGCATCCGCCATATAAATTGTCAAATATTTATTCTCACCTGCTGGACATAGAAATATAGTCAGCAGTATGTCACATGTCAGGTTTAACCCAATGAAAGTGCGACATTTCAATTCAAAGGAAAATAAAGCATGTTCTTTCCTGTCTGTCTGTCAGCACTTTTTTTGTCCAACTCTTTTTAACTGTGACGCCTAGGCCGGACCATCAAACTTTGTCAGCTGATGCATCTTTGAGGGAACTTGGTGTGTCACAACCAAAAAGTAGGTCACCAAGGTCTCGTTAGGAGCCATACATGGTCAAATAATGTCTGCATATATCTTGTACACCATTAAACACAGGACCATCTAACTTATTTAATTCTTGCATCTTGGAGGAAAAATGTGTCACACCTCATTTTGGATCTTTATGTATGTACATGTCAAATCTTGTCCGAATCATATCTTGCACCATGGGGACAATCAAACTAGTTCAGTTGATGGGAGAAAGGTTTGTCATAACTAAATATAGGTCATCATGGCATCAATTCAGAATATTTTCTTTACATATTCAATCATGTCTGGATCATATCTTGCACACTGTTTGGGCTAGGACTAGAAGTCTGTCCTTTTTATCCTAGGATGGTTGGCATTGTGTACACCCAAGTCAAAGTGGAAGGCAGTTCTTTGGCAGTTTTTTAACCTTCACAGTTCAATGCTGAAGTAGTTTTTAGACAGTTTACTAGCCTTCTCCGCTGTTGTTGGGTGAAGGTTTTTGCATGCTAGTCATTAGGCAGTTTTTATTAGCAGTCCACCATTTAAGCAGTTGCTAGGCAGTTCATTAGCAGTATCTTAGCAGTAGCTAATTAGCAGTTTCCTTGGCAGTATCTAAGCAGTCAATAGGACGGTTGAGGTGAACTGCTTAAAAACTGCTAAGCAACTGCTATAGGCAGTTTCCTTTGCTATACATACATGGAAATGACTCCACCTACATATAAATATGAAAATATATGAACTGCTTAAAAACTGGTAAGAAACTGCTATAAGCAGTTTTCTTGTCTACTTATAAGGAGATAACTCCACCCATTTATGAATATGAAAATGCATAAAATTTATGCTTCCAGGGTGATTCATTCATAAAAATAACGTTAACATTACAGATGGGAATTTAGCTTAGTATTAGATTTAATCATTGTGTAGATGAATAAACATTATTTTTTAAGGATTTCATTTTTCACTCAATTATCATACAGGTGTAAATTGTAAATAAGTCCTTTCATCAAGTTAATTTTCTTGCATTTCTTATAAACAAGTGCCAACTTTACCAGGCTGAACGATTTCCAAATATGGAAGTCAAGAATGATAACCGTGAATTGCTATAAATACACAGAATAAACAAGGTGCTAATCCTTCTGACCAATCAGATAACGGCATTTAGACGAATCCATGAGAAAGTAAATAAAACACGTGGTTTTAAAGTTTTTTGCTCAAAAGATTTTTTTAGACCAAACTTTTTGTGAACTTTATGCATATTTAAGAATAATATAATATATTTGACAATTCTACCGTGAACAAACACGACTTGAAAGCTTAATATAAATTCTAAGTGGGATTAAAAATCTGTCTCTACGAGGTAGTAATCTCAAAAGTTTAACTTGTGTTAAGAAATTTGATATAAATACGGCAGATTTTCAGTTTTTAGAGCCTGACATGAAAAAGTTTTCGTATGGGAATAACAGTCTTAATTATTTCCTGAGTGTTTATTACGAAACCGTCCATGCATTTCTGATATGCGAGATACATGTAAGATATGGTGATAAAAAACATTCATGAACATTCCCTTTTCTCCATATTTTCCACCTTTCCTTATGTCCATTTAGAGTGTATATGACATGGTATTCGGCGCTCATGAAACCCGTGTTATTTTAAAAGTACATGTAGTCTATACGATGAATACTTGTGTGCAGTACGTTGAGCTATACACATGGAAGCTACGCGTTATCGATGACAATCGGACGCCTAAGCAAAATTATATTTACCAACATAAACGTATGTTCGTAATTGTTATAATTGTACTTGATAATAGCTTGTCGGTGTGATCTATTCCTCCGTAATTAAACGATCGCATAGTTATATGCATTAATTTTTTTTCTTTTCCGTCAGATGAAAATGTCAGGTTTGTTCACAGTAAATATGTCGGGAATACCTTATTCTTCCAAACTTTTCATCTTACTTCTAAAGATTTTTTGTCAAAAAAATCTTTTTGAGGACAAAAACAAAAGCACGTGTTCTCTTTTTGTTCCTTTGAAATATGTTTTGGGGTGTGTAAAAATGCTATTGTCTGATTGGGCAGAAAAATATTTACATGTATATGATGTATATTTATAGTAACTTTCAGTTATCGTTCTTGACCTCCATATTTGGAAATCGTCCGGACCTGTTTACAGCTTGGTCAATACAGGGGGTTAATCTGCAGATCCCTCAATCAACTTTTATCTGCAAAAATTTTGAATTTATAATTATAATAGTTGCTTGTGAAGTGCCAGTCAATAAAAAGATCATATACATCAATATAGCCACTTATCTTGAAAGAATTATAAATTACTGCATTTAGCTTTACAATTTGACCTGGCTAATATAACTGACTCACATATAGTTCTTAAAAAGAATCTGTTAGTCTTGTTGAAGAGAGTTTGCAATATATATATATATATATATATATATATATATATATATATATATATATATATATATATATATATATATATATATATATATATTGAGGAATGTTTGATCCTATATTCAGAATTATAAAGTAACATTTATTACATTTATTTATCTAATGATGTAAATTAATTCATGTACATATGTAAACTGTAATTACTGATAAAATATTGCATTTACCATCTTTATATCTAAATTAAGTACTTATAATTATAAAATACAAACAGATTATGTTTTATAATTAGTAATTTGAAATGAGAGAGGGGATATTAATATATCACAAGCCCAGACTTACCCTTTTCTCAGCATACTAGTGCCAGCAAATCTTTAAAATTTTCCTATCACCCTTTTTCATTGTTGCCGCATGGTCATATTAAATTGATCTTTAATATTTCCCATCTCATGGACTCAGATACATTTGTAACTAGTAATTGATGTTCACATCCAATCCAATACAGTGATGACGGATATGTATTTCCCAAAGTATATTTCACTTCTTTACTGTATACATCTATATAATTTCATAAGTAACCCTCACAAACATTAATTTGTACTGAAATTTTGAACTGGTCCGAGAAGCGCGCACAAATCTTGACTGGCTCACCTCAATGGATACAACCCTAAGTTTCAAGCAACCATGGGGGACACAGCAGGTTGTTAACTAGAGGACTGCATTTGCAAGTTGATGGGATATAGAAGCTCATGTGTGCATGCCTTTTTAATGTGTAGCCTCAATTTATCATAAACTACTGTATCATTTCTAGTAAGATTTTAAATATATCTTTGTTTCTTTCTAATTTTATTTTCTGTATAAGAAATTCCTGCCTGGCCCCCAATTATTTGTGATGCATTAACAGTAACACATGGTCAATTGTAATGAAGGCTAGTGAAAGCTAGGACCACCAAGAGTGACAAAGTATTGTATTTCCTCATGTGAGAAGCTGAAATGAATTAGTTGCACTTTTAGCAGTTTTGAGAAACTGCTTGTTTGACTGCTTAAATTTGTTCAATACTGAACTGCTAACACAAATTCTTAGCAGTTTCTTAACCAGTCTGTTAGCAGTTTTAAGGAATGCTAAGACTAAGACTGTTAGGAACTGCTTAAAAACTGCCCAAATACCTCCAGACTGCCTAATAACTGTTTATAAACTGCTAAAATAAGCAGTTCACTTTGACTTGGGCATGTATTTTTCATAAGTCAGTGTATCATAATCCATATATGCTTTGGACCTAAGACTCTTAAGTCAAATTATTAGTTTTTGGATATAAAGTCTGGCCTGGCATTTGACTTTTTTAACTTTCAACCTCTGTTTATGATATATTTGGCATGTAGGTGTGTCATCAAAGGGCAATATGACATGACCCACATATCCCCCTGATCTTCAGGAGTCATATCAATTGCAATTTGGGCATTGGTATTTTTAGGCACTTTTAGGCACTTTGATGTTCCCACATAAGAGTGTTTACAGCCATCATTACCTCTAAGTGACCTTTGAATTTACTTCAGTGTTCTTAAACAACATTCTACATAAAGCATAAAAAATGACTTAAAATGAAATTACCCAGACTCTGAACAACCCAAAGAACAAGCAAGTTTTAAGGAAAAAAATAGAAATCAACAAAAACTTGAAATATAATTAGGCTATAGCCAAGTATGGTCATCTTCAGTGAAGTAAAAATGATTTTTGTTACAAATGCATCATATAAGATTTAGAAATTGGTATTATACATGTAAACACATATTTAAATGTCACTTATGGATAAAGCCCTCTGGCTGTTCTTGAAAACAATTATTTTCAAAGGCATGACTTCACACTTTTTCGAGCATGATTAAACACACGCAACAACAGTAAGTCTTCATGACTTTCAAGTGTGAGAACTACAATACAGTCATTCAGACATTGATTCATCTTCCTGCTTCTTGGGGCACATCCCCCTCACCACTGTCCAGCATGTCAAACGCTTTAAGCACCTTATGTTGTCTTGTACTCCTGAGCTTTTTGAGGTCATTTGCATACTGTTGTTCTCTCAGCAGCTGTTTTCTCTGCTCCTCGAGGTCCCGTTGGTGTGCCTGATAGACGCGAGTCATGTGTATCAGTTCTTGTAATTCCTTTCGTAATTGTCTGTTTTCCTGTTTTATTCTGTTGGTGTGATCTGACAGGCACTGACTAGCTTCCTGTTAATTACATAAGTTTTTTTTACTAGAAAAATTACATGCAAGATCTTGAAATGTTCATATCCCTGTCAAATATCATATATTTTTTGAATTTTTCTCTAACAATGTACTTTCAGCTCTCTATTTACCTTGTTTGCTAATTTTTCCAGGGCTGTTATCCTGTTTTCTGAGTCTTGTTGATACTCCCTTTTTTCTGCAAGGAAGGTGGACTTGAGTTGCTGGATGGTTTCTGAATGTTTGGATCTCATGACCATCACTTCTTTTTCCAGCTCCTTTATTTTATCCAGCTGGTCAGTTTGTAGATCCTGATAAAGAGTAATTTATTTCAGTTTAGATGCCATAGCATATAATTTCATTTATAGTTTTCTAGGAAAATCACAGTTGTCTAAAAATATTTTCATAGTACATGCAATTCTATTTTTGCTACTTTTGCCGAAACAAATCCATAAAAGTAACACTGTATTGAAGTTAATGTATATAATGAATAATCAAAAGAGAGAAAAAAATGCCCATTTCAAAACTGAGCAAAAAACAGATTTTTGAGAATTTTCCATATTTTAACCTTAAGGTGTTGGTTTCCAGTTTTGACTTACCGGTAGTTTTGTAAAGCAGATTTTGTTCTCAAATGCAAATATAACTTGAAGTAAACTTAATACTACCTATGTTGGTTTAATTGTCTATGATTTGATTTAGCGATTTCTGATATTAAAATACCTTCAAAGGAATTTCCAAGATAATTAATAAAGAATAATGCATGGCTTTTACATTGTACATGCACAACTGAAAATGAAAAATGCCTGGTCTTCTCTAAGCGTAATTAGATAAGCACAGTTATGTGCACTACATGTACTTATCCTCCTCCAAAACTCAACAAAAGGGTTTAAAACCTTTAAACACAGTATGACACAAAGTCTATCAAAATAATGATAATTATTCAAGTGAAAAAATTAATGCGTTTAACTGAATATGTCCCTAGATCAATCAAATATTAACCAAGTATGATGCAGACTTCTATGTTTACTGTTGTTCCATTCATATGACCCAGGCCAAATGTTAAACACTGTAAGTAAAGGGGGATTTCCAACCTTATGGATATATATATATACATGTATGTTTTGCAAGTAATAAAATACCTTGTACTCCTGAAGTTCTGATAACTCCTCTATTGTTTTCTTCAGAATATTTTGCTTTGCAAATAACATATTTTCAAGTGCTGCAAATAAATGCATGTATTATTCAATATATGTCAAATACTATAATCATTTTTCCAGTGCAGACATTTAAATATAAAAGTTTGTCCGTACATTTTGTACTTCAACAGCTTAAATTACTACATGTATATTAAATTTGTAGGTATGAAATAAATTCTGCTCAATTTTAATTTGATAATTTTGATTTTCATAATTTATGAACATACTCATAATGAAACAAGTATCCCATATACATGTAATAGCAAATTACATTTTGAAACATGTATGTTTCTGAAAATTTCTAATAAATTGGTTACGAATCTACAGATGCTCCACTCTACATCCTGAACAACCCCAAAACTACACTATAGCTCCTGAACTGACCTTGTTTCTTTTGATTGAACTCCTCTTCCATGTTCTGTTTCTCTAGCTCAATGTTTCGGATTTCTTCTTTGTTGTGATCACTCAGAGTAATAATGGTTGTCTTACGTTTTGTTGTCTTCTTCTCCATGTAACTCATGTATTCATGCTGTGAATAGTTATAAAAACAAAATGTTATAAACCCATGTGATAGATTTTTATTAAAACTTGTTGTGGATAGTTATAGATACAAAATATTAGTAACCTATTATAAATGATAGACCTACAAATATAGTCAAATAACTGATGATAATATACAGTGGGTTAATATTGATAACATGATACATGTTTAATGGTTTGGGCTGTGGATATCGGCCTGGGTAGCTCAGTCGGTAGAGCACTTGACTAGTGATGCAGGGGTCCCAGGTTTGATTCCTGGTCCAGCCATACATTTTCTCCTTTCCTGTTACACATGTATTGGAAATGGCAACATGGCAACAACTATGATTATTGAAACTCTATATATTATATTATAATATTCTCTATAATTTTTTATAAATCTTTGCATGTAATTATGTTATAATATTCTTCTTCCTTTTTTTCTGTTATCTGTAATTTGACTTCTTATTTTGACTGTATGCCAACATGGTGATGTCAATAAATTGAATTAATTAATATACATACACTTTCAACTCTGACCCTGCTCCCTTCTTGTTGCAGCCATTCATTTTCCTTACGTCTTGCATTGTGTTAAGGGATTACTTCCATATTTCAAAATTTCTATTGTTTAACAATTAAAAAAAACAAAACAAAAAAACAAAACAAAAAAAAAAACATGGTGCATATTAAATCAATATGATAAAAATAGAGTTTCAAATTATATCGACCAGTGTTTCAATTTTTTTTATTAATTAGACTTAATTCAAGGATACAAGTCTTCAACTCTTTTCTTTGCATTTTGTAATTCAGCAGTCACCTTTTCCAATCTACAAAAGAGAATTTGTACATATGTAGGACCGTTAAATCAATCTTGCTTTTCTTTACTTGTTCATGTTGTTTAATATACAGCTAGAGAAAATTCGGGAGGAAAAGCATAGCTACTCACTCTTGTTGCAAGAGTAATTCCTTTTCAGAGGGTTCTGGAGTACCAACTTTTGCTGTATCAGTTGCTCCATCTTCTTTATCTCCTTTTCCTCCTTTCTTTCCTTTTTTACCCTTTCCCTTTCCCTTCTTCTTTGGAGGCATCTTTTATGGGGTACTTGTGTTGACTGTGGCAACGGGTTTGTTTTGTTAGTTTCGTATTTCCCTTATTTCGGAATTTATGGGAAAAAAAAAACTGACAAAATTGCATTCTTTCACCATCAGTCTTGAAGGCAATAAAAAATATTCAATAGATTGCTCAATTGTTTACAGATACAGAGCGTAATTTCTTTACGAAACTGAAGATAGATTCGGGCACTTTCTTTTAAAGATGGCTGCGCCCATGAAGGAGGCAGATTCGAATAGTGGAAAAGTAGAAGACGATGCTCTGAACTTGTCATCGCCTTCTTTCGACCCTTTAAGAGCCCTTTACAGTAGCCGAGTCTTATTGCCATGTCCAAACATAGTGCCATTAAATAACATTGCCGAATATGTGTCATTTAGTGAAGGGAAATCCAGAAGACATAGACAAGCTCAGGGACTGTCCGACACTGTGCAAAGGAACACTTCGCGTGAAAAACTTATCTCTCGTAACGATGATAAAAGAAGCCATCACTTACAAAAGAGCAGTTCCTCACATAGTGCCACAGAAATGTTACATACTACTCACAAAGTTACAGATGAACCCAAGGGGAAGAATGATAGGGATGACAGTGAAAGAAAACTTCCAAAGCAAAGAAGAAATGTTCTCACTAGAATGGAAGGTTTGTATTGTAATGATCAAGAATTGTCATACACAGAACATTTTCAACTCTCTTGTTTAAATGGTTAATAATTTATCCCATCATTGTATAAATATGTATAAATATGTAACAGGAAAGGAGAAAATGTATGGCTTGACCGGGAATCAAACCCGGGACCCCTGCATCACTAATCAGGTGCTCTACTGACTTAGCTACCCAGACGTATATCCACAGACCAAACCATCACAAATATCTGCATGTAGAAACATTATTTCATTTGGGTGATCCATGTACTTTCACAACATAAAATAATATGTTGATGGTGCGACCGTTCGGGCGAGTGCAGTGGTAAATATTGGATAGTCTAATAACATTACCTAATTCACTTTTAACTAGATTTTTAACCTGTTAACTAGACCCAACTTTTCAAACTGTACAAGACATTTGGAGGGTCTAAACTGTGATGTCACAGTTTAGACCCTCCGAATCACAATTTTGATTGAAGTTTCGTAGCTGAATTTGTTAATTTTTTGTTTTTAATATGACCACAAAAATATTAATGGATCTTTATACATTTCTTATAACTTAAATGACTTCCCATAACTCTGATCTGCAGCTTGCTGGAATGAAAAAAAAAAATTGGGATGGATGACCAGAGAGCTACAATGCCACCATTGTAAAAAGTGTATATTTATAAGCACATAAAAGTGCACTGTTTTTTAATTTATTTCTCCATAAATTTATGATGCCATCTCAAAATATTACTAACCGTGTGTTCCTAAATAATCTTTTACTACTTCCACAATAAAACATTCCCCAAAGCCATTTTTGATAGCCCTCTTGGGCGTGAAATTGAGACCATTAAGAATTTCACCTAATTATTTATATGCCATTTTGGGTTGCAAGACAATTAGGTCCAATGCGCTTCGTTCATGACTTGTACATGCAGTTTTGTTGTGGAAGTAGTAAAAGAATATGTTAGGAACACATGGTTAGTAATATTTGAAATATCTGGAGAAATAAATTGAGAAATGGCACACTTTGAAATGGCTGGCTCTCTGGTTGTCCATTGCAATTTTTCAGACCAGCAAGCTACAGGTCTGCAGCTAACCATAACCATGATAACCTGGAAGTTTTACTTCTCAGAATATTCTCTGACAATTCTAACAAACTGGGGAAACCTCAGAAGTTTTCATAGATGCGCAGATGAAAGAATTATGTCATACTCAAAGGCATGTGACATAATGTTTAGTGCAAGCTGCATTTGCTCATTTTGAGACAGAAAGATTACACTAAAAATTTTTGTATAAATTCATTGATAAAAAATCATAGTCATGCTATAGACAACTTGTTGCTATGTGTGTAAACATTGGAATGAGGATTTGGAGTTTAGAATTTTTTCATGTGGACTCATAACAAAACAGGTTTACTCAAATTTCCTCTCTTCATACATTTAATATGTAGACCTTGCTGTTAACAAAGGCTAAAACTCTCTGCCATTAAACTTCATTCCAAAAAAACCCCAAAAATTGAAAATGAGAAGATTTTTTTGCTTAGTTGAAATACTTTTTGAAGAATACTCCTTCATTAATAGCATATCAAAGATATTTGGTACATTGTAGGCCAGTCTGAAACCAATGCTTATTTGTTTATCATTTTCAAATGCAAAAACTTTTATACAAAAAGAAAATTGTACAGTGATTCTGTCTAAAACCCTAAATAATCATGTAATGATTTACATCTACTTTGAAACAGTTATTAAAAAAAAAAAATCTTTTTCCATCCAACAAATTATATCAATATTTTTTTTATTAAAGGTTATAGAAGTGGGCCACTTAGTTTTCTGCAAAGGTGTGTTCAAGAAAGGCTATTAGTTCAGGTGTGGATCCGAAGTGCAGTTGATCTCAGAGGAGTGTGTAAAGGATACATTGTAGCTTTTGACAAACATTTCAATCTGGTAAGTTTTGTACTTTGTTGCCCCTTCTTTCAGCAGCATTAATATATACTTGTATTTCACAACAAGCAGGTCAGGATTAAGTGTCAAGTGTTTGCTTTTTAAAAAAAAAAAATTGAGTGTTAAAAGTTTCTTGTAAGTGCATTTGTTTTACGAACTGTAGATTCTTTATTTTATGTGAGCAGTTAATATCACAGAATGACTCCAAGCCATCAATTCTTGAGAATATGAATTCAAGTTTTTGACAGTTGGTCTATAACTTTTACTTGTATTTCAGTAATTTAAAAATAGGAGCAAAGAATTTTAAATTTCGAGTGCTGCTTCTCATGAAATTACTCGATTATTTAACACAATTTTTATTAAGCATATATCTAAGAATTTACAGTATGTTACATGTATGTTTATTCTGCAATCCCTGCAGACACAGCATAGTTCTGATTAGTGATACTTAACTATTTTATTTAAGGCAATGATTGATGTTGATGAGCTCTATAGGTGCCCATTGTGGAAAGAGGCACAACTACGCAAGGAGAACAAGGTAAAGTCACAAGACTTGAATGAACTGTGTCATTTTACAGAAAATATTGTGAAAATCTAGATTACTTATGTTTTGTGTCAAATACAACATTAGATACAGGACCAGAACAGCGAAAGTATCAAATGCTTACACATTATTTAAACCAGGCAAAGTATTGTTGAACAAAATCAGATTGCTTTCAATTTCAAGGTACCAACATTTACATTATTAGTTACAGTGTATGAATTTATTGATCTCTGTTACAGAGAGAAAAACGGAGAGTTAAACAACTAAAAGAACAGATGGCACAGTTGTCAGTGATTGACCAGCCAACAACCACCACCGAGTTGTATTCACAGAAAAAGGACAGCAAGGAGGAAAGTGAAAACAAAGTTGTCTCCCTTCCTCCAAATGACGAGATCTCATCTAAAACGGATTTAAAGCAGGTACCAGAGAAGAAAGACTCTATTTCAGAAGTTCAATCCTTGGAGAAGATTCAAATATTAGGTAAAAATCAGAAAGATTCGTCAACAGTGAGTGAATGTGACCAGACACAAGATAAAATTGCTGAAAAACCTCAATCAAGTGAAAAAACTCCTCATTTGCCAAGTGGACAGGTTGAAGCTTCTTCCACTGAAGAAGACACCACCTCTCTTAATGAAGAAGACCCTACCTCTCTTAATGAAGGAGAACCTCCTCCTTCCAAATCCGTATCTCAGTTTTTAGAGAGACATGTCAATCAATTGTTTATAAGAGGAGATAATGTTGTTTCTATAATGATGCTAGAATGAAATTTGTTTATTTTTTTCAGGAAGATATGTACATGTATTTCAGTTGTTTATTAGAGAAGATATATTGTTGTATCTATATTATGAATTTGAAAGAAATTGTTGATTTTTTTAACAAAGCGTTATTTTTACTTCTGTAGAAAATTCTCTTCAGAACTGAGTTTCTGTAGGATGGTAATGGTTTAGAATATGAAATCTTGGACCATAATATTGGTACAGGGAAATAAACAAAACTGCTATGTTTTGAAGAAATAACTGTTCCTTTAATGCGACTGCTTTTCGCGAAAATTATACAGCTATTCAACTATTATATTTCTTGCTTTTCCGTGACTTATTTTAACATGTATCTCTTCAGTTAACATTACAAAAAGCTTACCAAATGAACCCTTTTAGTATCGGTTTTAATTGTGGCTTTGCTTACTTTGGTAAGAAACATTGCCGCTATTTAAAACATTATTTGACTTTTCTTTATGTGTAACTATCATATATTATATGGTTAATGATACTTTTAAACTATTTTATTTAAGGCAAATATTTTCCATGACTTCTGAACCTATCACTGACCAGTATGAACTTCATTTTTATCGCATTGTGAGTTGATACTCACCACTACTGAGTAGAATTTTGGGAGGAATACAAGAACATACAGGTAAATATCGGCAACCGTTTGATGCTGAGACCTACCTGTGGCCATTGAAAAATTGCAGAAATGAGGTATCGAATAAAGGTCACAACACTCTTGTATTAAAAACTTATTGTGGAAAGGCATTGTGAAGTAGTTGCGGAAAAGTAAATGGGGCTGAAATATAATTGCGGAAAGCAAAACGGCCACAATTTCATCTTCAACAAAGATTTCATTGGATAAAATTTTGTCCTGTTTGGTATACTAACTTAGCTTGAATTTCATTTTTCAAACTTGTGTATCATATTCCGAAAGGAAATTTCCAAATTACAGAAAAACCATATAAATGAGCACAGAGGCATTCTCCAGTTAGTGTAACAAATTTCAGTTGGATGTTGTTGTTGTTGGGGGGGGGGGATAGTTCCAAAAGTTTCAGAAAGGAAAAAAGAAAAAAAAATTTCAGAACAATGCAAAGTTTTAAAACATATACACACTGAAACTTGTCTAATCCAGATGTTGTGCATACTGAAATCTTGCCTAATACAATGCTATACTTAAAGTTCCTTTCAATAATTTCAATTGTTTAAAATGTTGTTTAATTTGGAATGTTGTCTAATCCAGCCAATTTCTTTGGAATGAGTGATGGCCTGTTTAGACAAGTTTACTGTGTGTTTATATGATGGACCAGCAAAGTGCTTTCACCTTGCAGGTGATTAAGGCTAGGAATGGCAATTGATGCAAATCTTAAAGCTATGCAAGCTTATTAAAACACATTAGATGTTTTTCTATAATATAGTCAAGTAGACTTAAACTCACTTTCTAGTACATAGTACCCATGACATGTCATACCCAAAACACATTATGATGTCATATTATGAGAAGTCATTTCTCCTTTACTTCTCAAAAATAAAATCAATAAAGCAGATTCATGCAAGGGCACCTCCTATTTAATTTCACAGAAACAAGATTTAATACAAAGGAGAATACTAGTATTCCAAAGATTGATGACATTGCAGCACAAAAGTTGACAGTTCAATTGTCACGTTATTATTGGTGAAGTTTAGAGTTAAAACGCAGTAAAACTTAATGCATAGTCTTCTGTAGGAATCTTTAATTGATATCAAATGAGATAATGCATTGACCTGTAATGGTTTGGGCCGTAGATATCGGCCTAGGTAGCTCAGTTTGTAGAGCACCTGACTAGTGATGTAGGGGTCCCGGGTTTTATTCCTGGTCCAGCCATACATTTTCTCCTTTCTGTTACAGACCCAATAAATGTAACCCAATAAACCAAAGCTATATTCAGTCAGTGCTGAAACATAGCTTTGTGCTTTAAAAGCATTGTGATGTCATCTACATTGCATTGTTTGGGACTTAAAAAATTACTCATAAGATCATACTGCTCATCTTGTATGACTTTGTTAGTTTTTAGTTTATCAAAGTATTCATTTATTTAGAAGAGAAATAAAACTCAGATGGGCATTGTTGGCTCATGTGCCTCTTTTTTATGACTGGTCTTTCACTTTTTAACTGTAAATGTACATAAAAAAATAAGGGATAAAGTTTATTTTTTAATGATTTAATATTGCTAAGATACTTCTAGTAACATACAATACACAACCAGAATGTGCTACTGTACATACACTAATATTTCTATAACAAAACAAAGAGTTGAAGATTTTTTGTACAGAAAATTACAAAGATAAACACAGTTCCCATGCTATCCCACATTAAAATTTGGAGGAGGAACATTTGGATCAAACTGGGGCCCTGGAAGTTGTTGGAATGCAGGATTCTGAATGTACCTCTGATCTGTCAGCATTGGCCGATTGAACACAGGAGGTGGCTGTCCAAAACAATGTGGGGGAGGAGGGAGTGACATATTGGGAAATCTTCCACTAAGATTTGGGTAATACTGTCCTCCACTTTGTAAAGTTTCATTTGTTGGATTTTGTCCACTGATCTGGAAACTTGTTGATTGTGTGGTAGCAATGGTTGAATAGTTATTTGGATTCCAGTTGGTTTGATACTGAGAGGGATTGTTCCACACCTGGGGCACACTTGGCTGGAAGACAGATGGCCTGACTGGTCCACCATTCTCATACACTGTTGGACTGTTTTGATTTTCTGACATTTGTGGAAACCTTGGAGGTGCTCCAAATGGTTGGAAGGACTGGTATTCCATTCTGGGTTGTCCCTGGTGTCTTCCTCCCCTTTGGTTGAAATTTCTCCCTCTGCCAGCCTTATTATTTCTATACTCCCCTTGGTGTGTATGGGCAAAGTTGCCAGATTTTCTTTCCCCAGCACCTGTTAAGAAGATCAAATAAATATTTCAGAGATAATATCAGCTATATAGGTTAAACATAGCCTTTTTAAAATTATAAAAAGTAATATAAATTATAACTGTCCTGTCTGACTTCTTCAGTGGATGGAAACAGACAACATAATCATGCACCCACAGTGTAATACATGTATATACCTATCATTTGGTCCGTGACCTGTACATTTTATTTCTTTTCACTTTGAATTATCTTTTTTGCAAGTACATGTAAATGTACAAGTATAAACACATCCAGGCAGATAACTTAAGTGCAAATGCATTATCTTTCTTTGTAAACCTTGTGTGTTGTAAAGACCAAAAGTGATTCTGTGGAAATTGGGCAGTATCCTAAAGATATCAAAACTTGTATAAATTTTCACAAGAAATCAAAATGCAATGAAGAATCGAATCTTCATCTTAAAGCATCAGCCCCCCACCCCCCTCCAAAAAAAATTTCCGTAAATAGGACTTGTTGAAAACAGAAAAAAATGAATATACTGTAAGTCTGTAATTGTGAAGTGAAATCACCTGTGACTCATTTTTATTTCTGTATGTACATGTATGGTACATTTATGTAATCTTACAATATCAACTGCCAGGTTTCAAGTTCCTAATTTAAAGTACAATTAAAAAAGTCTTGAAAACTGAATTGTCAACATTTTAAAATGTGAAACAGTGCATAGCAAGGATTTCCACAGAAACCTAAAAAAAAAAAAAACCAAAAAACAAAAGCAAAATCAAAGTTATATATACAGTACATGTATATACACTGCATATTTTTAAATTTGACAAACAAAAAGTGCAATACCTGAATTTGTTTCTTCTGTTTCAGGTTCAAAGGTCTGTCTGAAAATATTAGAAAGCATTAGAGTATGTATAAAACTACCATACATTTGAAAGTACCCATATGCATATGTAAATTGAGATAAACCTGTCTTTTTGTCTTCTTCTGCGAATTTTTCGAGCTCCAGGAAGCTGGAGACCCTCTTCCTCATTACCACGGTTACGAGCCTTCGCTTTGGCTCTCCTTTCTTCTTCATCATCAGAATAGTCAATGTACTGTGATAAGACGATGAGAAAATTTAAATTCAACATGTGACAATGATGTACATTGTGAAGAATATTGAATATCTAGAGAGTCTTAAAATTCCCTCTTGCATGCTCCAGCCAATTTTTTTCCTTACTTGTCATCATTTCCACATGGATTGCATCTTAAAGACATGATTTTGAGTTAAAGAGCTAGGTTCACTTTATGCATAAAATGGCCCTGTCCTTATATCAATTAATTGACTATCACCCTCTGTCCTATTTCATACATCAAAATAAAGTAGAGACTTAGTGCTTTCATTTCCTTTAACAATCTTTCTTTTTGAGAATCTAAGTATTGGAAAACAGGCTTTAAGGTATTCAATGTATAACGACCATATTTAATACCTAATAAATGAATGGTCCGATATTTTTAATTATGGTAGCATTTTGAAGGTGTTTTCAAATAAAAATACTCCACCAAAGGAATTTACAAAATTTCGATTATTGTCCAATTAATTGCACCTTGAATTTTACATTGAAGTCTATGGGCAGCACATGTTTTATTAAGATATTATAAAAAGTAATTTGAACTTCATATAAATCTCTTGGTGAAAATATGCAAAAACTCTCTCTTTATTAAAATATGAAATAAAATGAATCATTTACCACAGATATCTTGATAAAATTAAAATTTTCTTCTTTTCATCAAGGGTAGTAAGGTTCAAAACGACTGTCTTCTTATATGTTACCAGTCATGTGATTTTGATTCATTTCACTTTCATCGTTATCTGGCAATGCATATTTAACTAGTTTAAAGTGATTCAAAATTGTTCAATATCCCTTCATTATACATTGAATACCTTAAGAAAATGCAATGTTCTTGAATTTTGCAGAAAACATGCATATTTGACTACCTTTAGAAAAGAATTAAAATATGAGCAAAGCCCACAATCCAAAAATTAAAATATGTTTTGTGATCTTTAAAAACAGACCTTTCATTATGTAATATTGCATATTTTGGATCAGAGGTTGTGCTCTATATGAAATATTGAAAAAATACATCAATTTTTGGCCATTTTTAAGGGAATTTACAGGATATGGGAAAAATGACGCATTTTATGACGTCATAATGCATTGACTAGAGAGAAAATTACGTCATTTTCAAAAGATACACAGTCACCAAGGGTCCAAGTTATGAATACTACATTTTCAACCAAAACTGAGCAGTTTCAATTTTTCAGAAATTCTCAGGGCCATAAAAGACCCTAAGTGCTCTTGCTCTTTAGAACTCTACCAATAATACATATGTATTATACTTTCAATTATTCCCCCAAAAAAGGCTAGCCACAATTTGTGACATCTCAACATCCCTATCAAACCCAATATGTCTTCCCTCTATTGTAAGAAGAGGGAATTATTCAACCATTAGTTACCTTTGCTGGCGGTTCATTATTGTCTTCCCAGGATGCATCAGAACCTTTCATTCTAATAAAAATAAAAATAGTCTGAAATATTAGCTGATAATGTTTCAGCACAATGTTGAACTAATTTCTTAAGTATTGTTTGATACCGTATACAAATGTCATGTATTTACTTTAATTATGTAGTAGTCATGTAAAGTGGACCAGCTAGAACACAAATTTTAATACATATAATTGTTAGCAGTTAAATTTTTCTTATATATATATATCAAATATAAATTGTTCAATATTTTCACCCAAAATTATGTGATTTTCAGCCCTAATACCTCCTTTCTTTCTCTTTGTTAGAAGGATTTATATCTAGATTTTCATTAGACGAGTCCATGTGCTTTAATATGTTTACAAGTCTGACACATTTTTTACAGACCCTAAAACATGCTACTACACCACATGCACTATACACTTTGTTTCTTGAACAGTAAAGTATGTGTCTTGTATGGAACGCTTTGTTTCATGTCTAAGGTGCAGTAGCAGGTTTTAGGGTCGACTATAGACTCAGATTGATTCAGAAGTAAACTCACTGTCTGAGGTGTTCTACAAATACATAATTGGTAAGCTTCTCTACTTTTGGGGCACAGTACACCTTCTGTCCACTACTGATGGACTTTTTCTCAATGTCCTTGGTGCTGTTAAATCTGACAGAATACCATGGGGATCCAACAGGTCCAAACACCTCAAAGATCTGTTAATCAAACACATCAACATCAAAAACAAAACTTATCAAACTTACTTTTGCCATTTAGCAATATTTAAGGATAGGACTAAGTCAAAGGAATTTAAGCAAATAATGAATGAGTGTGATATTTAAGATCCAGAAAGTCCTTTGTCAAGTGATGCTGTATTAGTTAGTATAATGAAGAAAAAAAAACATTGAAAGTCCTTTAATTATAGCTGATAAATCAGAATCAGAGTGGAAATGTATTTGAATCTCTAATGTTCTTGACAAGACTATTCTGAAATATTAATCACTTGCCCAAGTATGAAAGATAAAATACAAGTACATGTAATATTATCCTCAAGGCAAAAGAAAATTACCTGACCAAGCACCACTCTTCCTTCCAAAAACAGAATGGTGTTCTCATTCAAAGGAGGGATATTTTGATTTGCTTTTACTATCACTGGAAAAGATAACATTTTTAATCTGTAATGCATGGAAGAAGCATGGAAGAACCTGCAAGTTTTTTTTAAAATCAAATTTGCTGAAAAATACATCCTAGACCAAAATGTGTGTACTAACCCAAACATCCCACAACTCCTGTAATACTACCAGTATGGACAAGTTCTACATTTGGATCCACAGTAATAACAAGCTCATCAAGGGGAGGTAACTCCTGTGAAATAAAAAAAATCTTTTTTTTTTCTGTGACAAACCTTATGATCTCAATACTTCAATTTCCTTGAGAAAAGATCATAGTCATATTGCATCTCAAAGTTCCACCCTGAGGTGACCTCATCTACATTGCACTTACCTCAGGGTACACTTCTCCTTTAGTCCTCAAGTCACTGTCTTTCTTTCCTTTTGCTCTAAAAATGAAGGAAATATAATTATTGTATTTTATAGATGATAAAAACAATGTCTGTTTGATAATAAAAATTAATATGAAGATTTTATATAATGCTTACTTATTTTCCTCATCTGAGTCAATAACAATGCACTTTTCCTCTTGCATAAATGTTACAGAATCTTCTGAATCACTGCTGGAATCAGACGATTCATCCTGTTTCTCTCTGTATGCTGAATCAACAGCTTTGTCATCTGTTTTACACAATTCACTGTTCGTGTCTATCACAATAATTTCTGTCAGTTTAGATGGCAATGGTTCAGTTGGCAAAATGCTTGAGGGTAATGATTCTATGTTTGCTGCTGTTTTTGTCACTGGTTGTGAATCATGGGTTGAAATGTCAGAGGTGTGTGAATGATTCATTCTAACTTTGCCGGAAGATACTGGTAAAAGCTCAGATGCTTTGTTACTTTCAGTTTCATCAATAGGCTTGTTGTCAATTTCATCTCTCTCACCATTTTCAACAACAATGTCAATTACGTCTTGTCTCTTCTCAGTTCCAATAATTATTGATTCCTGTGTTTCTTTAGTAACAAACTTTGTAGATGACAACTGTGATCCAGTTTCCTCATTGTCATTTTTAAGCTGATCATTAGTTGTGTTAGGTTTAGTGGAAGATGCCATAGGAACCCTTTTGTTGGTAAGAACTCCCACATCACTATCTTCCACTGAACTTTCTTTAGTATCTGTGTTTGGGTCCATGGTTGTCACTTATTAAACTTGTCTTTACAATGTATTTAATTTCAAACAGTGACAGTTATTTGTAAAAAGAGTGCATTTAAAAATCTTCAAATAAGCAGTTAGACACAGTGAAAACTTAGAGTCATAATTAAATGTACATGAAATCCCTTTTCCCCTTTGTTCCCCTGGCTGAAAAAGTCACTAAATTGAAACCTGAAAATAAAATAGAAAAATCCACAATTTTTGTTTACTTTCAAGTTATAGTCTTGACACACTCTATACCATATGCAGCTGACATATTCTCTCATATAAAAATATGGTTAAGGACCAATAAGACATATTGTTAGTACCCATGAGCTGACTGGGTTAACTATGACCAGATTTTGAATGTCATATCTTGGTTTATATTTTTATCTCCAAAGAAAATATTTTCTTCAACAATTAAATTAAGTCAAATCAACTCTGATTTTATCTGAATTCATAAAGTGCACTGAATGTATGTATACATGTACATGTATGTTTTCCCCCTTGAGTACTATTTACATATCATTCTCAAGAGCAGTATTTTTTTTCATACAAACCTTACTTGAAACATTCTGTTGTTCAAAATAGGGTGCTACAGTAGCTGTACTTCTAATACGAGATTTCTCTGACTCTAACCCCTGCTTTTACTATGTGACATGTGACAATATAAATTTAAAGCAGGGGTTAGAGTCAGAGGAATCTCGGAACTATACTTTTTGTAAACATAAACATCAGTCAGTAGTCACTCTTATATGCCTCTGTAGAAACATTTATACTGTATTCTATACAAACATTTGGTATGTTTAGTATACTTCTAATTTATAATGGATAGGTGTCTGTGTATAATCAGTGTATGACTTACCAGTTCGTGCAAATTGGGATCGGTAATAATAAAAGTAGAAAGAAACACGTGGGAAAGTGAAACTAAGTACAGGCGTACCAAGATTTGCATTAACTGGAACATAAATAATTCGAATACATATTTTTCTTTGTCCTGATAGATAAGTCAAAGTTCAAAATTAATTGATATTTTTTTATATTATCAATCTTTTATTTTAGTGTTCATAAATTTTCGATGTAATGTAATAAGACATTATTATATAGCGTTGTTCTGATTGTACGCGAAATATCTTTCGACGAATTGCCCATATGAATAATGATTGCAGCACTTCCGTTTTAACTTATAAAACGCACATGTAAAAGTCATTACTTGTTTTCAGGCTGTTTTTTTTTTACATTTTCAACAGAATCATGAATGGAAGGAAGGACAATTCGACATATGGGTCGTATGCTCCATATTCAGATCAAGACATAAATGTTCCAGGTAACTGTTTTTCTCTGTATAACACGGATAACCTTGAAACAAGTTTTTCATCATTCATTTCATTGGGAAATTATTGTCATTGACACATGTAGGCATATGATAGAAAATTTGCAGAATATTACCATATCTTTAAATCAAAATATAAGGTTATTTAAAAAAAAAATACCAAAATGTCTTTATTTATGGACTTACAAACAGAAATCAGGGTTGTCCCTAAGAATTGAAATAGAAAGGGACATTTAAAAGTAGATGGGGGAACTGGGTTCCTCCCCGAATGGGGAGTTTAGGGGGAATACCAAAATGACTGAGGAATTACATCATTATAGGCAGGGAAATTCCCCGGGTCTTAGGGACAACCCTGCAGTATACACAAAAAAATTGATGAAAAGAAAAAAAAGTAGTTTAAAAGAGTAGTTTAAAAAATGGCCACCTAAGCAAACCAAAAATGGACCAGTAGATTTTTTAATGAAAGTGGTAGGCTGGAGATGGGTAAAATGAATGTTAGACTTCCAACTAAAATGGTAGAGTTAACATGTATGAAATCGATGAAAGTAAAGTTTTGTTGCACTAGTGATACATGTATGTTGCTGCCAGGCAATGAAAACTGTAAATAATGTATTAATTAATGTTTAATTATATAACAGGAAAAAAGTCTTACTAGATAACGTGAACTTAATAAAAACACAGTTTGTCTAAGGAACACATAAATTTATAAGTCATATTGTCTGTTCCAGTGACTGCAGGACAGGGTGCTGTGGTGTCACCATACTTGAATTTTAACCCAGCTTACATACAGGTAATTCTGGTCTGCTCCTGTAATTTTATGCAACTTCATAGAAAAATTGATAAAATTGATGGGGAAAAAAACACACGCACAAAACATAACCAAAACAAAAAAAAAGAAAAGAGAAATGAAAGAAAAACAAACACACACACACCACAAAAGATAGAAAAATAAAAATATGTTTCTTTAAAAGTATTTCTGTATTAGACATATTTATTGTAGAATCCTGAATCTCAGTATATATACCCAGAGGGAGCCACTGGTCACCGGGGAATGTGGGAAAAGAGTTTCGCTATCATAGGTTACAGTGTATTGACAGGTCAGTTCACTCTATTTACAGAATTAAAAAGTGTATAACTATAGACCCAAAATTCTTTCCACAGTATACATACACTACTATTAAGTTAACCATTTGATACTAAGCTATTCTTTGTTAAACACCCATCATGTATCCATTTTTAATTTTATAGTATAAATATGAAAGCAATAGTCTAGGTAGCCCTCTGATGCCTGAATTTAGAATTGATATGCAGTTTCTAGATTTATATTTAAGGTATGCTTGTGACATCTTGAAGGAGATATGTCTTTATATCTCTCCGTACTAAGTTCCCGATGAATTAAAAGGTAAACATATTGAAAACCTATTAGTATTATTCTTTTTTTAGGAGGATCTATTGGGGCCATAAATGGTCTTTATAAATACAGAAAAGAATTACTGTTAAGAGAAGCTGAAGGTAATGTGGTTTCAAAAATATTTTTCTCAAAAGTTATTACAGATGTAATGTGAATACAATGTACTTACTGGTATATATTTTACTTACTGTAGGAGGACCAAAAAGACCCCAGTTAAATGAATATTTCAAAGGATCTTCATATAAGATCTTAAGAAAGCAGTAAGTACTAGATGCAGATTCATGTTAATTGTGTTATGGCTGTCGCTGATGGAGTCACCAAATCAATGTTGCAACATAACATTTTCTTTTTTTGCACTTCTAATCTTTTTTTCCCCAAAATACCATTTTTTTAAAAAAAATTTAATATCAGTGAAACTTGATGCAAATGTTTATATATACACCATATTATTTAAATAAAAAACACAGTAATTCAAATTATTTAAAAATCAGAATTTTTGCATGTCTCACACAAATATTATATTGTTCAGTTCTTGAAAGTGTTAGGTTTTATAAAATGCAAGTCTCAGAACCTAAAAATATCTACTTTAACCCCCCCCCCCCCCCTTTCAGAAAATATAGTGTTTAGCCAACCACAAAACTATTGATCACCCCTTTACGTCTCGGCATGCAGGGAAAGCATAAACACATCATTTTTTTTTTCGATTTTGTAGTACTGCAAGTTTAGAGTTGAATAAACTGAAAAGTCTAAAACTTGTTTATTGTACTATATTTGATTAAAATTTCATTAATACCTTATTTTTATTTTCATTTACAGAGCATTAACAGCTATATCTAAACAAAGTGCTTCTGGTGGACAGTCATTTGGAATTATGGGTAAGAGGATTTTTTTCAGACGTGTTGAAGTGTAGTGATTTTAAAGTGTGTGTTTTTCACCGGAACCAAAGTGAAAGATATTGTTTTTGAAGTTCATAAACTTTGATAAGAGATCATTGCAATGAAATCTTCATGAATGTTTTTCAGACAGCTTTATTTTAAAAAAAGAAAAGAAAAGATAATCAAGTGCATTTTAATTGGCAAATAATAAATAATAAAATATATTTGTTCCTTAAATAAACTACATTTATCTCCCTTTATAGCTCTGTGGTATACTCTGGCCCATTTAGTCATCAACAAATCTACAGGATCAGATAGCAAGTGGCACTGTGTACCTGCAGGATTAATGGCTGGGATGTTGTATCAGTTACCAGATCAGATTCTGCAGAAAGATGGTATGAAGAACACTATCAATGGCTTCTGTTATAATTACAATGTACAGTCTAGGGGTATTTGGTAAATTTAAATAAAATATGGTCTAATCCGAACTCATCAAATGAGATTTGTTATATGATTAAATGCATTTTATTTCAAAGCATTAATGTTTTAACGATTTTTATTTTTATTTTTATTTCCAGGTGCTTCAGGCTCTGTTGTTAGTAAGTAGCATTTTTTGAATTAAAAAAAAATATAAATAATTTAATATATTATAACAAATATTTTATCAGTACTTTCATATACATGTATTAGTTCAAAATTTGAAATATGAAGACACCTGTTTTATCATATGTGGTTGGTACTGACTTTTAAATATTTTTGCAACATAAAAGAAAAAAAAGACAGATTTAATCACACATTAATCTTACAAATTTTTCCTTCAGAGAAAGAGATACCATTTATAAAGAAGACTATCACTTATGCAAAAGTTCCTCCCATTGTAAAAGGCATGGGGATTGGATTAATTCCTGCAATGATTGTGGCCACAGCTTCTGTGATTGGATTAGGAGACCTTATTTCGTGATTTTTTTGTGATGAGTTGATGCCTGAAAAACCAAAACATTGTGAAAGTGTTAAATTGTGTAGAAGTCCATTATCATGAACAGGCATATATACCAGTGCACTCAAAGATCACTGAGTGGTAACAAAAGGATTTTTCTTTAAGAAATTCACCACAGAATTTTGTTATATGTAAAAGATACATGTGTTGATTGTGATAACTGATAGGTTTAAACAACTACATCATTGTAGTTATTTATGTACATGTAAGAACATAGACTGCAAAACTTTGTCAGAAGGCTTGGAACATATTTTATCACAAATGTGAACAATTTATTATTGTACATAGACTCTGATGTGTAAAAGTGTACATGCAAGTGTGTGTGAATTGAAGTACAGTAGATACATGTCGAATGTATATACTGCATGGAGAGAATGATGGAGATGTGTGTTATATATGCACAATAATAATAACTTATCATTCATGTTATTGTGTGAATTTTTATGTACTGTATTTTGATCAAGAATTAGTACATGTACATTGCTAAACATGGGTAAGCTGCAGATCAAGTTTTAAAATTGACAAATATTCTTTTTTTAGCTCACCTGAGCTGAAAGCTCAAGTGAGTTTTTCTGATCACCCATTGTCCGTAGTCTGTCTGTAAATTTTTCAAAATTTCAACTTCTTCTCAAGAACCACTGGGCCAATTTTAATCAAACTTGGTACAAAGCATCCTTGGGTAAAGGGGAATTTAAATACTTAAAATGAAGGGCCAAGCCCCCTTCCAAAGGGAGATAATCAAGAAAAGACAAAAATAGGGTGGGGTCATTAAAAATCTTCTTCTCAAGAACTACTGGGCCAGAAAAGCTGAAACTCATGTGGAAGCATCCTGGGGTAGTGTAGACTCTAAATTGTTCAAATCATGACCCTCGGGGGTAGGGCGGGGCCACAATAGGAAATCCAAGTTTTACATTGAAATATGTTGGAAAAAATCTTTAAAAATCTTCTTCTCAAGAACCACTGGGCCAGAAAAGCTGAAACTCATATGGAAGCATCCTGGGGTAGTGTAGATTCTAAACTGTTCAAATCATGACCCCCTGGGGGTAGGGTGGGGCCACAAAAGGGAATCTAATTTTAACATTGTAAAATATAGGAAAAATCCTTAAAAATCTTCCTCTCAAGAACCACTGCGCCAGAAAAGCTGAAACTTAAGTGGAAGCATCCTGGGGTAGTGCAGATTCTAAATTATTCAAATCATGACCCCAGGGGGGTAGGGCAGGGCCACATTAGGTTTTACCATGGGGTAAATCAGGTGAAAAACAGCAGGGCCAAAGTTACTCAGGTGAACGTTGTGGCCCATGGGCCTTTTGTTTTTTTTTCTGTGTGGCTTTTGGATTACGTTTTAAAAATTAAAGATTTGGATAAATGGTAATGAAAAACAAAAAACAAAAAAAAGCATACTGCCCCATTTACTTCTCATGGCAAGAGAATGAGAATCTAAAAAAAACATGTAATTATATTACTCAAGTTTGAAAATTGCAGGGTTTCATTTTTTTTACGTATAATTATAGATCAACAAAGAATATGCTATTGCAAGAAAAAATATCAAATTTGCCACATGGTTGGTAATATGAGTCCTGTTGTGAAGTTAGACAAGTATTTCATCTTGTTGAAGGAGGGCCGGTTTGCTATGTTTCGATTATACAGAAAAAAAACTTTTTTTTTTAAATGGGAATATATAAAACAGTTTAGCACTAGCCATCGGTCAGTTGGAAGATTTTTGCAAAAAGTACAGTAGAAAATGGTACATGTAGCGATAGGAAACTGGTCAACGTCTCAAAATACTTTACAAGGAATTATCATTAGACACCAGGTATTTATGATAGGGCATCAGGCAGGTGTCGTGTAATTGTGTATAAATTGTATTCCAATCAGACCCTCGATTTAAAGACACCAGACAGTCATTTGTCTATACAATCTGTTTATTTTAATAATCACCCCCCCCCCCCCCTTAGTAACCTCGAAATATGAGAAAGACCTACTGACCGCTCAGGTCCAAGTCTCTTTGCAATCTCAAAGTACATGTAGTCATGAATTCTTGGTTATTTCTAAATCTAGAAACCTTTGTAAGAACCACGCACGCTAACTCCCGATTCCCGCCTATATTTTGCACCCATTTAATTCAATATAAATGGCGGTTTGGCCATTAAAACTTGATTGAATGCAAAGAAGAGTTAAATCTAATTAAAATTAGACGTTCCGAATCCGCCACCGCTTCTCAAAATTTTGAAAAGCGGTGGCAGATTCGGAACATCTTATTTTAATTAGATTGAGAAGAGTTCGTTATTAATTGATTTATAATTTTAAGACCAGTGTCAAAAACTTTTAAATTGCTCTTATTTACGACTTATTCAAAAGGGGGGTTGAAAATTTTATCCATTGAAATCAGGCTTTAAAAATCCCTAGATTTTCAAAAATGCATGGATATGGATAAATGACCCTTAAATCTTTACGTATGTTAAACTTATGCAAAATTCAAGATATTAAAAGATTGAAAAAAGACCTTATTTTATTTGTAATTTCATTTGAAATTGGTAGTAAGATGACCAATTTTGCAGTTTTTTTTGTCTATAAACATACCCCACCCCCCACCCCGGTGAAAAAAACGAAAGCTTTAGTAGGAATTTGTGAAATAACAATTCATAAAACCCATAAAAAGGAATTTTTGTCTCATCGGGGGGGGGGGGGATATTTTCCGTTGATTTCTATAGTGATAAACGCTATTTTTACCAGATTCATTCAATAAGTATTCTTCATTGCATTATTTTCTGCATTCATGTATTAAAATTTCTTTTTGGACAAACAATCTTGCATGTGAAATGGGACTATAAACATACCCCGCGTCAGAGTACATGTAGCAAATGGGGTACCAATATAGCTTAATCTGATTGATTGATTGTATGTTGTTTTACGTCCCATTCGAGAATTTTTCACTCATATAGAGACGTTAGCTTAATCTGAATGAGTTGAATTGCTTTGTGGGTTACTACGGATACTATAGGAATTTTACGCTTAAAAAAAAAACCCAAGGCGATCGAAAAGGCACATAGGACATTTTTTCCACGCATTTGCATGCTTTTCCACGCTGTCCATTTTTATTCTATTATTTCCATGCTCACAATTACAAACAATTCATTTGCAACACGTTTAATAAAGGTGGAATTCTAGGTTTCTCAAAGTCATACTGTAACCATGGCGATTTTCGTCTGCTTTCCTTTGTTGTACTATCGGTGAATACAACTGGCAAAAAAAACATTGTTGTCCATTTACATGTAGCTGTTTAAATGCCTAAGGGATGCTGCTCGTTTTCCATAACCTTGAAGCGCTAGTGTTGGTTTGAACATATTTTATTGTAATTTATAAATACAATGGGATTGGACACAAGTTATGAAAACTTATTACGCCCTCCCTACATGTAAATTACACATTTAAATCGTCACAGTTAAACATGAAGTTTTAAAGTATACAATATTTTCAAAAGTTTGCAAATCGATGCATTTTGCTGATATATATATATATATACTTAATTTTGTACAAATGCATATACTGATACATTAATTAATGCTAACAAGGAAATCTACCGGAATGTTTAATAAATGTTTGAACAAAAGAAAAGAGACGTTCATTATCTGCAGCATTCAATGAATCTACCCCCATAATAAGACATGTATCTAGAGTGTGGATCTTGTCAAATTGTAATAAATTATTTAAAAAATCTTTTTTGGCTTTCTCATACTTTGGACATACAAAAAATAATGATATGTATCCTCAACTTTACCACACGAGCATAAAGGACTTGATATTAAATTGCATCTTTAAAGGTCGCTATTCAATACGCAATTATGCCGTAGTCTGGTTTGAAGAACATTTAGTCGTCTGTTACCGTAATCAAAGTATGATGGTGGAGCAGATTTTTTAGTACTAATTTTAGATTTGAATTTTGACATTGACTGTAAATTTCGAGTGGAATTGAGTTCCATTCATTAACTACTGTCGGAATAAATGTAGACATAAGTTTCTAATCGACATTTTGAAATATCATAACTTTGAGAATTTCTTGTGGAGTAGATAGATGTGTTACAGCGCATATCTGGAAGTATGTCCATTATGTATTCAGACACTAAATTATTATGCTTGAACATAGTTTTTATTCTAGCTTCTTGTCTTCTACAACTAAGAGGTTCCCATCCCGTTTCAAAGTATAGTGAATCTTTAGAAGCTATAGTTGTTAACCCTGTTACAATTCTAGCGGCATAAAGTTGCAGTTTTTCTAACTTATCGTTATCACTATGTTGACAGCATCCCCATACCACTGAAGCGTATTCAAGTTGCGGACTTATAAATGACGTATACATGAGTGAGAGAGTTTTTTGATTTACTTTAAATTTTAATTTTTTCAAAAGAGATAATTTTTTGTAGGCATTAGACAGTAGATTTTCAATATGCAGTGACCAGCTAGCGTCGTGTGAAAAAAATACTCCGAGATGTTTGTGTTCAGAGATGAAGTCCAATTGACATTGTTGAAAAAGAAGCTTAGGATATTCTATGTTTTTCTTTGTACTAAACATTATTGCTTTAGTTTTAGAGGGATTAAATTTCAATAACCATTTTTTAGACCAAAGTTCCAGAGCATTTAGATCTTTGTGTAAGTCTCTTTCAATAATTTTCATATTATGAGAAGAATGCTGCAAAGAATTATCATCAGCAAATAATCTACAAAAAGTAACCATATTATCAGCTACATCACTCACATAAATTAAAAACAAAAGTGGTCCTAAAACGGAGCCCTGGGGAACACCAGCATATAAGGGTTTGGGTGTTGATAACAAGTTACATCACCCGTTGATATCTACATTCAAGATAATTCTCAAGCCATTTATGCAAACTACCAGTAATCCCATATGTTTTAAGTTTAAATAATATACCTTTATGCCAAACACGATCAAACGCTTTTGAAAGATCACAAAATACCATACAACAAAATTTTCCATCATCAATAGCTTTTACAATATTGTCATATGTTTCTATTAACTGGTACACTGTTGAGTGACCAGGTAAAAAACCAGCCTGATATTTATGAAAAAAGATTATTGTCTTGAAAAAAATTATAAATATATTTAAACACAACTCTTTCCATGATTTTTCCAACACAACTGAACAATGAAACTGGTCTGTAGTTAGACATCACAGAAGGATCTTCTTTTTTAAAAAGAGGAAGTACATTTGCTAATTTCCAACCGGACGGAAAAATACATTCATTCAGAGATCTATTAAACAATAAACAAAGCGGTTTAGCAATAGTAAACTTTGCTGATTTTAACATCTCGTTGCTTATATTATCAGGACCAATAGCTTTGTTTGTAGGAAGTTTTGTTACTATATCAATTATTTCTTGCTCAGTAATACATATACTACTAATTACACTGTTACATACATGATATGCCTCAGGTAATTCTTAACTACTGTCATCAACACATGATACAGATGTAAAATAATTATTGAGTACATCTATTTTCTCTTCATTTGAATAAGCAATATTTGTACAACCAGTATCTGTTATATATTGTAATGGTGGAATATCAGAGGTAACTTTGGTTTTAAAAACATCCTTCAATAATTTCCAGTATACATGTAGTTTCGAGTTCTTTTTGCTAGCGTCAGTAAGATGTAATTCTAGATTATTGTTGTAATTTTCAATTGCATGTTTTTTCATATTGTTAAACTTATTTCTCACTTGTTTAAAATTTGTCCAACCAGAGTCTTTTTTTTTGGGGGGGGGGGGGGCTTTTCGTTTAAGTCTATTTTTTATACGAAAAGTTTTGCGCAATGCAGAATCAAACCATGGTTTATCTTTCGGCCGTATAATAACAGATTTTTCAGGTATACATTGTCTAACTATATTCATGAATGCCAAAGAGAAGTTTTCAGTTGCTGCCTGATTAACATTTTGTGCATTACAAATGAGGTTTGCCCAGTCGGTATTTTCAATAAGTAAATTTAGTTTGTCCATGTCCGCATTTTTATATACCCACACTTTACGTTCATAAGATTGGTCTAGATTAACGCTTAATTTGAGAAAAATATATGTCCCTTTGTGATCGCTTATTGCACTGTCTGTGTGTAACACGCCTGAGTGGAGAACTGAAATATCTGGATTGACTAGAATTGGGTCAATAAGTGTGTTCGATGAGCTCGTGATAAGAGTGGCTTCATGGATAGTGTTTGTGAGATTGTATTTTAACAGAATTTCATTCATGATATGTGTTCGAGGAATGTAATCTATATTAAGGTCTCCAACTAAAGTTATTTTACTGGAAATATCAGAAGCTTTTCCTATAGACCACATAAGATTATTCCAAAAGGATTTGTTGCTATTTGGTGGACGGTATACACAGCACAGAAAAAAATTACAGGTAGGTACACACACTTCTAACCAGATACATTCTATTAAAGTGGGTTCAAGGTCATCGCGTCTAATGGCTCGAAGAGATTCAGATATATAAACAAGAATTCCTCCTCCGTGCGAAATTCCTATCTTTTCGAAATATTGTATTAAATCCCTCAATTGAAATTTCGCAATTACTTATACTTGCGTCCAAGTGTGTTTCTGTAAAGCATAGGATATCGAAGTCAGTTACATAAGAGGTTAAGCTTTCTATTTTGTTTCTAATACTCCTAATGTTATGGTGAAAAATATCTAAACTATGAATAGGAACACCATTCGGACTAGGGTTGGTTTCAATGTCGCCAGACAATAATAATAGTAGATGAATAATTTGCAAGCAAAAATAGACATGAATAGAGCTTTTCATACTCTTGTTGGCTATACATTTGAACATTTGAAAGTAATAGTTATATACCTGTAATAGATACGAAAGTACGTTTCTAAAATCAAAGATAGAGAATAGCATTGATTTGACTGTGCATCTGGTTTTTGAGTAATAAATTCCTACTGCGGCTCGATATTGTGACACTGTGTTACCTGCCATTGGCTAAAAATTTTGAACAAATGAAGAAATTTGATTGTAAGAGCTGCAAGCAATGACAAATATCAAAATAATTTGAGTACATGTTGGATAAACTGTGACAACAAAATAAGGAGTAAAAATAATAATAAAGCAAAATCAAAAAACAAAAGCGTATATACAAAGATAAAGGAAACAAAGTGAAAATAAAAAGTGTAAACAAGGATAACAAAAGTAACAAATGTGTGTCACTAAACAAAACAAGATGCGTAGGGGCAGAATTGTTGAATATAAACAGTGTGAAAACTATATACATGGCTTTCCAAAAAACAGTGGTCATACTGTAATAATGAAAGGAGAGAGGTTTTTTTTTTTTTAAATAATTTCAAACTGTTACCGTGTAGTGAATTCATACTTTATTTTAGGTATTCTTATTTAGTTTTCATTAATGAGAGCTGAAGTCAGTAACCATGGTAAATTATTTTAGACACATTTTAATAACAAGTCGATAGTGAAGTCGCTAATACTGGTTATCGGG